TAATTCTCTGTCATTTACAATCATAATAATAATAATCTGCTATTTAAACCTTGATTAAATGTTAATTCAATTCACTTGATGACTTTAATCAACATGAAACTTTTAATTTCTCACCCTTGAAGAGTGAGAGAGAGGGTTAATCACAATTTACTACAACAATTAACTCAATGAAAAATCTAAAGGGAAGTTAATTAACTAAGTATCGATATCGAGACAAACCAATAATATTTATATAAACTCATCATTATCATCATCATCATCAGTTAATTGCTGAGTATATAATTTTAATCTCAAATAAACTAAATCAAAAGAACTTGAGAACGAAGTGGACTTGGGAGTTAATTGTTGATTGGAACAATTTAATAATCAGTTGTAACAGTTAACATTTATCATCGATCGCTTTGGTTATCCTTTATTATTGATAATCTCGATAATTTAATTTCGATAATCGAGAAAATCAATCGTTATCATCGCGAGAAAAGATGAATGAAAAACGAATCAAGAAAGAAAAAAAGAAAAACTTGATTTTCTTTCTTTCGAATTTTCATTTCTTTGATTGATCCATAGCCTCGAGGGAAATAGCTAATAGCGATCACGAATTTCAATCGATTCGATCCTGTTGGTACCATCATCATTATTATCACTCGATAAATCGTCATGATGATGATCGACGTTGTCGTTGGTTCGTTCAGTTTCATTTCGTTCTGAACTAATGATTACTTTCATTTGAAGCGTTTCTGATTAAAAAGATTTAACTTTCCGATTATAATGATAACGGTAATTACGATGATGATGATGATGATGATGATGATGGACAAGATGATGAACATCATTGATTGACTTTGATGACATCAACGTGACCTGGATGGTCAAACTGATGAGTAAAAATTATAATAACAAGTGTGTTGATATTGACCAGTAGAAGATGATAAATGAAGGAGAAAAAGATGAAGAGAGAGAAAAAATTGACATGAATCAGATTTTGAAAGATAATTATCATCATGATGAAGATGAATCAAGATGATCACTTGAAATGATTGATAAAAAAACAACAACAACAGCAACAACTGAATCATTTGATTGAATGTCCAGTCATCTGCAGAAATGATGATAAAGATGATTAATGTTTGCAAATACTATCAAACAATTGACCATTTGATTGAGAGGATCAAGGAAAACTTGAGTTGACAAAAAAAAATTAGAGACACGAATTTAGATTAACCTTAATCTCATCGGCTACTGGATTACAATGTGATTTGTACAAATCGTTAATCTTAATCATCTCGAAACTTTTTTTTTTTCTTCAACTTTAATTTCACAATTTAATTCACAGTCCATTTTGGTGTAACCGATAATAACTATTAAGGTAAACTCGTTTTACCCACTCATGCGTATTTAATTTATTGATTGTGATGAGGATGAGGATGATTAAGATTATGATGGTCATTTATGTTTCCACTGGACTGGTTATCAATTTGGTCTTAACTATGATCTAGTTTAATCAGGCGTTGGTTGGTAATCATTGGAATCAAAATCTTCCTGTTTTCATGTTTTTTTTATGCTTTTCCTTTTTCTTCATCCTCATCACTTTGATTTAACTTGTTTTTTACATCATTATCATCATCATCTTTGCTTCATCTTCATGATGATAAACGATTCAATTGAATTGCCTTCTATTTTTTTTCCTCTTCATCTTCGCCATCATCTCAATCACCTCCTTCTCATCACGACGGTAGCATCGTGATAATAATCACCGTGATAATCAGAAGCTCTGATTATGATTGTTACTCTTGTTATTGTGATTAAGATGATGAATCAAGAATCTGTTTCAAGTTTTTATTCATTATTATTGTTGAAGCGAGTTTAACTTTCCAATTGACAATTAACTCATTTACTGAATTGCTTTCATGCAAAAAGAATTGAATTACTCTTAAATCTTAATGGATTAACAATTAAACAGATAAACAAGATTAATCTTTATAAGTGATGATGATGATGATGATCAATAATCAACAATAAACGTAAAAGTTTTTCACCCTTAATTCAATTTTCTAATATTAGTTAATCGTTTAAAGTTAATTATTTATCTCTCAGTTGATTTGATTGGTGATAAGATGATGATGATTTTCAAAATGAAAATATATCATTTATTTTGCAACTTTCATCGATATCAGAATTAATCACGCAATTAAATACAAGCAATTAAAATAAGTTCAATGTTGATTGCAATTAATTCTGAAAACATGGAGATAAATATTTTTCTTTTTCCTGATTTCGTATTTTCTATCAGAATCTGAATTTCAAGTTTCTTTCCAAAAAATTGATTGGAAGAGAAAAATAATGATAGCTTCACCTTTCTTATCAAACTGATGATTATTATCAATATAATCATTATCATCATCATCATCTTGATCATTATTATCATCTTCGTGATCATTTTCTCACGTTAAAGGATGAATGTTGTTGATTGACAAGTTTGTATAACAAAATGATATCGCCAGGTAATGATGATGATGATGTTTACCTTATTTTCATTGTAGTTGAAGATGATGAGCCTTGATTTTAATTGGTAACAATTTTGATTGTTATCATTGTTGATGGAGGTAAACTGTTATTATCATGATGGTGATTGTAAATTTAATTGTCGACAATCATAGATGATGTTAATCTATTGGTTTTAATAGATAAAAGGAAAGGAAAGCTAATTATCATCCAAACTAATATCTTCCTCCGTACACACTCACAATTTAAGGTAAAGAGACAGAGAAAAGTTAGTGAGTGAGAGAGAGAAAAGTGAGTGAGTGAAAGAGAGAGAGAAAGAGAGAGAGAGATAATTATCCTATTCCTCATCCTCATCCTTCTCACCATCATCTTAATAATCATTAATAACGTGTAGGAGTTTATCTAATGATGATGATGATGAAGATAGAGATGAGGTGACCCAGTGTCAAAATCCATATCCGAAAGTTTCATCTCCATGGATCCGTAATAACAACAACAATCATAATAATAATTGTTAACAGTTAGACAATAACAATAAACAATAATGATAACATTAGACAGGAAACTTAACTCTCCCACAAGACAGACTTTTCATCATCTTTATCCTTATCCTTATCCCTCAATACTTATCATCCATATCTTCATCCTCATCATCATGATAATCAACAGATATAAATTAGTTACAATGACAATCAAGGTGATTCTCTTATTGGACTCTTCTCATCATCTTCTCTTCTTCTTCTTCTGCTTCTTCCATCTCTATCTCCTTCTCCTTCCTTCCTCTTTTACCTTTGATCACCTTTGACCCTTGACAATCTAAAGTAAATCCCAAAGCAAGTGACTAACCAACCATGAACAAGAAAAACCAAATACACCACACAGACACTAATCATCATCATCATCATCATTCTCGCCCCCCACCAACCGCTATCATCAAAAACTCTCACTCTCAATATCAACACACAAATAAATTAACTGATTGTTATTAGCAACATCCCAACGGAACTTGTACCTTTATCCTCTAGACTCTGTACTGTCCTCATCCTTGTCCTCATCCTCGTCATAATCATCACATCACATCATCATCATCATCGTCATCATCATCATCATCATCAACCTCTGCTTCTGTCTCAACCTCAACCTCAACCTAAACCTAAATCTAAACCTTATCACTAAAACAGTTCACATGTAACCCTAAACAGCTGCTTTAAATTGTTATGTATTAATGATAATCCACAACAACAATTAACTTATTGATAATAATAATTACAACGAGAAACAACAACAACATTGAACAGAAAAAAAAGATTAGCTTTAAATAGCCTTCGGGTAAAAACCGTGTTACACTTAAACACCAATGTCATAAAACGCCAATGACAACGGATAGTTGATCAGAAGCGACGATGAGGTTTACTGTTTGTTTACTATTATTATCATTTGATAATTGTTGTTGTTGTCGTTCAATTAAAAACGGAAATTGAGGACACATTTAGAAAGAGAGAGTAAATTAGAGATTGACTGTAAGAGAATACAACTAAGAGAGAGAGAGAGAAAGTGAGAGAGGAAAAAAATTAAGTGAGTATGAGGAGCGAGAAAGTGATTCCCTCCGGTGAGCTGTTGAAGTCACTCAAGTCCTCACTCGAAGTAGTAAAAAGTTCATTAAAATTTTGAACTTTCTTCGAACTAATTGTTCTCGACAATTTTCCCCGTCAACTTTGACATAAGAAAAGACCTAATAAATTAATCTCACTCACAATTAGTTTAACTTGACTTATTTTTATCATTCTCGAACTTTGAATTAGAACTTTTTTCTCTCTCGTTTCAATCAATATCGTCATAAGTATTAGATAAAAACTCGAACAACGATAAATATTATATAATTTCATCACCACGAAGATCCGATTATCTGTAACTAAATTGATACTTTGTTATAAAGAATCAAATCCCATTTGGTTTGACAATTAGCGAATTGTAAACAATCAAGATCAACCCATTTTTTTCGTCAATTTAACAAATCAAATCAAAACAATCCGATCAAATTGTAGTATTACAATGAGTGAAAAAAAAGATTAACTAACTACCAAACAAATTGATTTAATGTCAACAATGATTACAATTAACTTTCGATTGAGAAGAAAAAAAAATGCAATCGAACAAAAAAAATTTCCAAACCAACACAATCAACTAAACAATTGAGGGTCAATTTTAAATGATGATTAAGATGATATATCAATGATGATAAAGAGCTAACAATCAATTGTATCACGACAAAAAAAAATCAATCCAAACAATTAACGGAAACAATTTAGGTAAAGGTAAAGGTTAACATTTGAAAAAATTGTTATGGTTACAAAAACCTTGGATTTACCAAGTTTTTTCAATGGTTTTAAGTTTAACATCCAAACTAATACGAATCAGTAGAGCAACAATTAAAGATTCACAATTAACTAAACAATTTAACATAATTAACTCTTTCTCTCTCTCTTTCTCTTCAATAGTTATACATTGAAGTTCTTAAGGATATCCTTCCAGGTAAAGAATTGCTTCTTGTTTTCAATGAGGTTCTTCTGATAACTGAGAATAATTCAACCAAGGATTCGGATAAAATTGAAGGTAAATAGATGATTATCATCTTCATCTTCCTTTATCACCTATCTCCCTGTTCCCCGGTTTCAATTGTTCACCAGCAATTAACTTAAATATCGCCCATGAAACAATTGTAAACTTTTTCCCAATCACAATCAACTAATTCGATCGCAAATTGATCCTAGATGATAATAATTTCGTTGTTGTTTTTTTCTCACAGCACTTAATGTGTGTGTGTGTTACTGTTCATCATGATTAGTTAATTTTCTTGTTGATTTGATTGTTTACTTGATGTTTTTTGATATAATTTACAATTTGAACTTCACTATCATCCGACCTGAACAATTTGTTGTTGATTATTATTGTTGATTGTTGAAACGGAATCTGATCCCTTCCAATTGGGTTACTGTTTAAAGGTCATGGTAGTGGTAACAACAGTAGTAATAGTTGATTGTTGATTGTTAATCTTGATTGTTGTTTAGGTCGATTCTTGTTTTTCTTGTCTATTCTGACAATTCAATCCACTTTTATATATTATATAACTTTTTTTTTCTTCACACTCTTACTATCAAAAGTTGATCACAATTTACAAATCTTGATCATTTTCTTTACTCTCTTTCCAATTGTTCCCGTTTATAAATTAGTGGCCTTAGATTTATCGTTAGTGGTCTCAATAGATTCGTTGGTTCGTTACAACTAATAAACGATAATAAAACTTGTAGCATTTTTTTTTTCAACGAGTAACAATTAAAGTCCATTTGAATCTGATAATAATATCATGAAAACAACATTGAACCCATTTGATTGAATAATAATAATAACAATTAAAAACAACAACAACAAGAAAATACAGTTACCCAATCACGATCAGTAATTAAAACCTATTATTATCATTATCATCACGATAACATTTATTATCATCAATAGTGACCTGGTAACTGATTTATCACTCACACAGAGATTGATTTGTTATCAGAATTTGATTCAAATCTGATTAGTATTTTTGATAAACTTTCTTAATTATCTAACTGAAAATCGTACGTAACCTTTTTACTTTCGCGATTAAGACAAATTGATTAACGATAATGAATCTAATCTTCGATTCACATGGACGGAAATTCATAGTTGACCTGGATTCTTGTACCAATAACAATCTACTACTAATTTACTTGTAGTTAAGTAGATGATCCGGTTGGCCTGTTAGCCGAAAGTGCGATAATATAATAATATTTATCATCGTTACAACTTTTACTTTCTAACGATTTTGGGAGAGAAAAAAAAACACAAAAAGTTTCATTTTTTTTTCTTCTCACATTCGAAAAGTGATAATAATAAGTTAACAATAATGATAATAATAATTCGTTATAATGATTTAATTAATTGCAAGGTTAATTCGTTGGGGTCTCTTCTTGTGTCAAAGTAAATAGAAAAGTTAATTAGCTGAAGAGTTGACAGGTTGACGTTAGGAATGGTTGAGTGAGGGAGGAAAGAGGATATCATAACTGTGTCATGGTGGTGAATTGTAATCAAGATAATTGTGATTACTATTGCCAAGAAAATATCAAACAATTAGTAAAGAAATTAGTTATCATGCCAGTTAAAGGTAGAAAAGAATCGAACTGTAATTATATATATATGATATATAAAAGAGAATGAAAAAAAAAAGTTCGATTATATTTAATAAGCGAATTCACGATCACCGGAATCAAATTGGAGGGCAATTGACAATCGAATAACAATCAACAGCAATTAACATAATTAGTATCGTTATGATTACGATATCGCACGAATATTGTTATGGGTTAAATGTTTAATATCGATTGTTGATTGACAAACAACGAAGAATCAAGAGAAGGAGAAAAAAGAAAAAGTTCTAATCGAATTTTCGTTTGAGCTCGAACTTTTTACCTTCTTCTTGGAAGACAACGAAATGATCGAATTAACTGATTATAACAATTAACCAGATTTTGGAAATTAGGTTTAACCCACAACAAGAACAAACCAGCCAAAAATATAACAACTGATAAGAAGGAGAGAGAAAAATTGAACTGTAAATGATTATCATGATTATGATTATAATCATTATGCTAATAATTAATTCATTAAGCAATTACAATCCCATGGATGGTTGAACACGGAGTTTGATTGTCAATTGGTGTGTTCGAGTTTTTTTGGATTCGAACTTTTTTTTTCTCTAATTCGAGTGACGACTTGAGTGACTTCAACAGCTCACCGGAGGGAATCACTTTCTCGCTCCTCATACTCACTTAATTTTTTTCCTCTCTCACTTTCTCTCTCTCTCTCTTAGTTGTATTCTCTTACAGTCAATCTCTAATTTACTCTCTCTTTCTAAATGTGTCCTCAATTTCCGTTTTTAATTGAACGACAACAACAACAATTATCAAATGATAATAATAGTAAACAAACAGTAAACCTCATCGTCGCTTCTGATCAACTATCCGTTGTCATTGGCGTTTTATGACATTGGTGTTTAAGTGTAACACGGTTTTTACCCGAAGGCTATTTAAAGCTAATCTTTTTTTTCTGTTCAATGTTGTTGTTGTTTCTCGTTGTAATTATTATTATCAATAAGTTAATTGTTGTTGTGGATTATCATTAATACATAACAATTTAAAGCAGCTGTTTAGGGTTACATGTGAACTGTTTTAGTGATAAGGTTTAGATTTAGGTTTAGGTTGAGGTTGAGGTTGAGACAGAAGCAGAGGTTGATGATGATGATGAGGTTGATGATGTGATGTGATGATTATGACGAGGATGAGGACAAGGATGAGGACAGTACAGAGTCTAGAGGATAAAGGTACAAGTTCCGTTGGGATGTTGCTAATAACAATCAGTTAATTTATTTGTGTGTTGATATTGAGAGTGAGAGTTTTTGATGATAGCGGGTGGTGGGGGTGAGAATGATGATGAAGAAAATGATGATGATGATGATGATGATTAGTGTCTGTGTGGTGTATTTGGTTTTTCTTGTTCATGGTTGGTTAGTCACTTGCTTTGGGATTTACTTTAGATTGTCAAGGGTCAAAGGTGATCAAAGGTAAAAGAGGAAGGAAGGAGAAGGAGATAGAGATGGAAGAAGCAGAAGAAGAAGAAGAAGATGAGAAGAGTCCAATAAGAGAATCACCTTGATTGTCATTGTAACTAATTTATATCTGTTGATTATCATGAGGATGATGAGGATGATGAGGATGAAGATATGGATGATAAGTATTGAGGGATAAGGATAAGGATAAAGATGATGAAAAGTCTGTCTTGTGGGAGAGTTAAGTTTCCTGTCTAATGTTATCATTATTGTTTATTGTTATTGTCTAACTGTTAACAATTATTATTATGATTGTTGTTGTTGTTATTACGGATCCATGGAGATGAAACTTTCGGATATGGATTTTGACACTGGGTCACCTCATCTCTATCTTCATCATCATCATCATCATCATTAGATAAACTCCTACACGTTATTAATGATTATTAAGATGATGGTGAGAAGGATGAGGATGAGGAATAGGATAATTATCTCTCTCTCTCTCTCTCTCACTCACTCACTCACTTTTCTCTGTCTCTTTACCTTAAATTGTGAGTGTGTACGGAGGAAGATATTAGTTTGGATGATAATTAGTTTTCCTTTCCTTTTATCTATTAAAACCAATAGATTAACATCATCTTTGATTGTCAACAATTAAATTTTCTATTTCCTATCATGAGCGCGTAACGCGTGCCAAATATTACTTTTTGTCATTTCCTCTTAATCATAAACATCATCAACAAAAGGTATCAGATGATAATGATTATCATCTTATGATTATTATTAGTTTTTCATTGTAACCGAAATCATTAATTGTTATTATTATTTGATTACTTTGCATCTGTTTGTTGCTTCAATGATTATTATCATCAAATAATAATTGATGTTGGACAATTTATTAATTGTTTGCAATTTGATAATATCTTCGTGCATTATTATTGATTAACTAACCATTTTTATCTAATCATGATTAGACTTTTACAGAACACAAGCAATTTGATACAAATAAATAGTTGATTGTGATTTACCAAATTAACTTATTGATTTTAATCTCTAATCATTTCAATATTATTATTAATCATCTTCTCAACTTAATTGTGATTTCCTTAAATCTCCCACTCACAGGATTACCTTTCTTTAATCTGTTTGGATTAGGAAGTTCAGTTAATCAACAACAAATCCTTGCAGCAATTGCAGCTAATCTGAGTTACTCCAATCTACCATCATCAACAAGGTAAGAATCAATCTAATTACAATTTAATCTAATTGTTAATCAATGTCAAAATATTATCAAATTGATAAATTAACTTATCTTAACAATTGAATAACAATTGAAAAGCAAAAAAAGTTATCAAATCAAATTAAATTAAATCTAATTGAATTGTGATATCCGTAAATGAAACCAACCAATATAAAGTTTTTTTTTCTTGTTGCTTTTTAAATTTAATTGTGACAATTGGTTTTTATTGTCAACCATAAGGCCTGATGATGATAATGAAGATGAACAATTAGATTATCAATTATGATTGCGATGATAAGTTTAACTAAACTATGAAAAGATTTTGATTAAATGTCGTTAACCCGTTTTCAGGCCAACATGAAGTGTTCAGGTACCGATGGTGTTGGGTTAAAGTGAAAGGGAAAAGATGATAATGATGATGATGATGATTATTATTATTGGAGATGAAAGAGAGCGGATGATGATAAGATGATGAAGGGATAGGAAATAAGTGTGTAAATGAGCTGAAGAAGAGAAAGTGGAAATGAAAAAGATGAAGATTAGGTGAAAATGAGTGAGACTGATGATAGACAGAAATAGTGAGTGGAATTGATAAAAAAAGGTTTCGAAGATGAAGAAGAGGGTGATGAAGATGAAGATGAAGATGAAGATGAGGATGATGATGAGAGTAAATTGGATGCTCGGACGATTCTAAGATCATCAGAGCAGATTGAGATGAAAGTTATTGGAGCGATTGGAGCAAAATTAGCAGAAGATGATGAGGATGATGATGATTATCATGATGATGGAAAATGAAAATGATGAGAAGAGGGAGAGTTAACTGTAAAAAAGAGGGAGAGAGAGAGAGATAATGATAATATTATTAACTAACTGTTGAACATTGATTAAGATAGTGAGAGTTAATCATAATTAAACACTAAACACGAACAACAAGTTTGAACATTTTTATTAACAACAATTGAGTTTTAACGATTTCCAATCAGACCGAGAACAATTATATTCACACATGAGGAGTTTCCCTCTCACTTTTCCCACTCCACCATCAGAATCTGAATTAAAATGAATCAGAATCATTTTACTTTTCATTTTCCACCATAAACATGATAGCATATATTGATTACAATTATAATCAACATTAACTGTCAACAATAACAACGTTGACAATTTTCAGGTTACTTTCAATTCAATTGAACGATTTTACAATCAGTTAGTTGATTATGTTACTATTATCATGATGATAATAATAACAAATCATGATGATAATCATGGTGATGATGATGATGATTCCAAGCCTTTTTTTTCTTCCTCCTTTTTTTCAGCAAAAAAAAAATTAGTAAAATTGTTCATCATGATGATGATTTTTTCAACAATTACAATACAATAATTGATAATTAACTTTAGTCAAACAATTAAACTTACACTTAACTTTGCAATCGTTTTTGTTATTTTTACAATTAATTAGTAATAATGTTTGTCTTTTCATTTAATACCTGATTTTGTTATTCTTAATCAATATTCTCGGGTTAATTATGATGATATTGATGGCGATTATCAGATGCCCATGATTGGTATCAATCTTATAGCCTCAGGGTATTCATTTGCTAAACAATCATCATCATCAACAATCAAACAACAACAAAAAACAACATAATCAACCAGAAAAATAAATTGTTTCTTCCCATAATTATCATGATGATTAACTGGAAACCTTGCTCCAGGGTAAATTAATTGAATAACTTGTCTCGATATTAAATGTTAATGATGATTAAAGTTTTAATTTAGTTCGTAAAGATTGTCAAAAGTTAATCAATACATTATTTAAACCAACACCCAATTCATAATATTGATGATTGGAAATTTGTTATTACCAGTTAATTGTGATTACTGATTGTCACTGATCAAGACACTGATTTAAAACATGTAAACAAATGGAGATGGTATCAAATCAGGAACCTAATTAGTTGATTGTAATAATATATATACATTTATGTAATTCAGATCAATCATATTCACCAAAACAATTAACTCAATTTAACCTTAATCATTATTTGAAAACAAGGGTAACCAAAAAATTGATTTGATTATTGTAATTATTAATTACGAATCAATATCAAAGTTTTAACTTTCACTTTTTTCACGTTGATTGTTGTTAATCAACTCATTGAGATAGATTAACAGTTGATCAACTTAATTTTAATTGTTTACTGTTAAAAGGTTAAGTTAAATTGTTAGATCAGGTTGAAACCATTGATCCGGATAAAAGTTTGGTTAAATTGTTGCGATCAAGAATTAACTTGATCAACTATTATCCTAATATATGAAATAAAAAACAACGTACAAGATAAAAGTTCATTTGTTAATTGTTGTTAACAACAATCAGTAAACAACGAAACTTAAATTTATTGGTTGACAATTAAATTAAATTAAGTTGATCAACAAACAAATTAAGTAGATGAAAAAAAATGCCAACAAATCAATTGAAAACAAATAGATATTCAATTCCAAGGACAGGTTAACCATATACAAGGTTAAATTTTGTCAACTAATTTAAACAATTAACTTGTTATAATTAACCAATTTGATGAATTAAAAGTGAAAGTGTTTATTAATAACTGAACCATTGATCAGGTTAAAAGTTTAAATTCAATTGTTGATTGAATTAAATTGTTGGAAAGTGAGAGTAAAAGTTATTGAGAAAATTGTTTTTCTTTTTCTTCATCAATTCATTGATCATATTTACAGTTATCTTTGAGCATCTTCATCACCACAATCATGATTATCTTCATCATCTTTATCATCTTAATCACCAACATATGTTAAATAATTTAACCTAAATAATTTAATCATCTTCGTTATCAATCATCACTTCATCAAAAGTGATTAAAAAAACTAGTGATCTTATCATTCACAACAACTTTAAATGATCATCATTTAGCTTGGTGATGATGATGATGATGATTAAGATAAAGCTGATTAGGATGATTAGTAAATCATGTTTTAAAGTAATTTACTTGATGACAATTTACTTGACAAATTGATTAGCAGAATCAGAAAACGATCATTAAACTAATAATTGGGAATCATGGAAACTTTAAAGAAGAGAAAAAGTTTTTTTTTTCCAAATTCGATTATCATTTAATTGATTAGATAATTATGTCTTTTAATTGTTATTATGGTCAATGAATTTCATGATGATCAGGATGATGAAATATCGACCATCGAACCTATAGAAACATCGATATGATTTTTAATGAAACCGTTATAAGAATCAGTGATTACTATGATTAAGATTATTCAGAATAATTTAAACACAATTTAACTTAAATTACTTTCTCATTTTTCCGTCTCTCTCACTTTCTTATTTATCATCCTCATCATCCTCAATTGACTTACTTTCATTATCTCTCTCTCTCTCTCTCTCTCTCTCTTCTCTTACTACTTCGAAATCTTCAAGCTCTTTCTTTTTCTCTCTCTCTTTTCGTTCTCTTCGATATGACCTTACCCCTCCCTTTTTCCTCTCTCATCATCCCACCCATTTGATCCGCTTTTCGCTTTCACTCCCTCTCCCTCTCTTTCTCTCTTCGATCTTTCTCTCTTTCTCTCTTCCCTTTCTTTTCTCTTTCTTAAAACACGTTAATATGTGACCGAGCGTGCGTTTCAAGCGTACGAACAAGTAGCTATCATCATCATCCTCTTTCTTCATCTTCTCCTAAAAGAAAACAAAAACACTTTCTCCCTCGAAATTTTCACTTTCTTTCGCTCTCTCTTCTTCGTGTATCTTATCATCCTCTCTCTCTCTCTCTCTCTCTCTCTCTCGCTCGATGTTAGTACGAGCTGTTCCTGCCTCTCTTTCTCTCTCTTCTCATCTTATCATCATCCTTACTGTCTCCCTCTTCATCCCAGAGGAAGCTCTTAATGCGTTTGTTTTACTTTTATCCGACTCAAGCTTCGAGCAACAATCGTAACGGCCTTGTCTCTTTTCTGTCTCTCTTTCTCTTCCCCTTTCTTTTCCTTTCTCTTCTCTTTTTTTTCACTTTCTCTCATAACGGTCACAAAATAGTAACAACAATCAACTATCACATCAAACAATTTAGTTAACATCATCTAATATATTTAACAACAATCGACAAAATTTTTACTTCAATCAATAGTAAAAGTTTTTCGAGAGAGATAAAAGTTTGTCGGAAAAAAAGTTCATGTCACCAACTACTTTCTCACTCCCATGTAAATATGTGTGAATTAGTTAATTGTCCATGAGAATTATTAACAGTAAATCTTAATCATCAACAATAAACTTAATCCAATTTGTACAATATAATTTAAATTGTTCATTATCATCATCGTCCATTGTCATTATTGTTTCAATTTTAAAGGATTTTAACATTCATATTGATTTCAAGTGAATTTCAATTGATTCTAATTGATTATCGTGTTTAATATTATTATTATCATTTAGATCTGTTGATCATCGTTCATCGGGTGCATCATTTTCAGAGGATTCTGTTGGCAATTTATCTTCTTCATCAGCACTTGATAACAATTCGTGCGGAGGTAAACACAGTGATCTCGGTGGCAATCATACTTGTAATCAGTGTGGAAAAGGTTATGGTAACAAATCCAATTTAATTCGTCATCAAGCCTCACATGATGAGAATCGTCGTTATCTTTGTGAATCGTGTAAAAAAGGTTTCACTGATCCGTCCAATCTTCAGCGACATATAAGATCACAGCATATTGGTGCTCGATCTCACGCTTGTCCAACTTGTGGTAAAACATTTGCAACTTCATCGGGACTAAAACAACACACTCACATCCACAGTTCATTCAAACCCTTTAAATGTGAAAAATGTTTAAAATCGTATACACAGTTTTCCAATTTGTGTCGACATAGGCGTATGCAAGCTAATTGTCGCTCTGAAATTAAGTGTACTAAGTGTGGTCAAGCTTTCTCAACGGTCACTTCATTGTCAAAGCATAAAAAGTTTTGTGAAGGCGGTGGAGATTGTGAAGAAGAGGGTGAAGACGAAGAAAACGAAGAAGAGTTTGAAGATAACGAAGAGGATAATAACAGTAAACTAAATCATCATCAGCAATCATCTTCATCTTCATCACATCAATCCATTGATATTAATAATAGTAAAAATAACAACAACAACAACAACATTAATTTAATTCATAAAAGTTCATCATCATTTTCATCATCAACTTCATCTTCATCAACAAACTCATTATCATCCTCATCTAAAACAATGGAAACTTTATCATCATCAACTAATAAACGTGAATCACCAAAATCGGGTTCAATTTGTCCAGAATCATCAATGTTATCGTCTACCAATGGGTATCTTAAATTTCCCTCGATTGCTGAAGCGATGAGATGTGAAGTGCCTTTCGACCTTTCCAAAAGCACGAGCCCAATACCAATTAATGCTAATAATAATCATAATAGTAATAATAATGACAATAATTGCAGTAGTAGTAGTAATAATAACGATAAAAGTTCAAACAATAACGGTAAAAGTGAAGGTATAACTAATAGTAGCAACAATAATCTAAAGTCATCGTCACAATCAAATTTAAGGATACCCAGTATACTATCGGGTGGTGAATCAAAGACAAGGGCTAATTGTAAGAATGATAATCAAAGTGAAGGTGGTGGTGGTGGAAGAGGTGGTTCATCTGGTCGTGAAGAACCGTTAGATTTGCGAATAATTAAGAAACGTGGTTCAATTCGTTTAGCACAATTAGAGATTGAAGAAGATGATGATATTATTGATACGGATGAAACTGCGAGCAATGGAAGTTTATTTCACCATAATTCATCATCTGAAGCAATTAAATCTAATGCTAATGGAGTAAATAATAGTTCTCGTCGAGGAAGAGATTCATCGCCGCAAAAAAGTTCTAATCATAATGATTCCATCAATAATAATAACCATCATCATCATCATAATCAATCTCATCATCATAATAATAACAATCACCAGTTAAATCATCAACAGCATCAACTTCAACAGCAACAGGGTAATCAACGTCAATCAAGCCCTCGAGCGAATCAAGAAAATCTGGAAAATTATCGATCAACTTCTGAGATTAAAATCGACGAAGCTCCATCGCCAATTGGATTTTTACCTCATCTTAATGGTTCTAACAATGAATTAAACAGCAATAGCTTTACTCGTCCATTATCACCTAATGTTGGGAAACATTTTCCTCTTCCTTATCCTCGACCTTTTCATCCATTGTTACTTGAATCCATGTATCGTCTTCAGGCAGAAAATTTATCCGCCGTGGGTAAACCCCCGCCACCATTTTCAGGACCAGCATTTCCATCAATATTTCCTGATTCAAGTCGACTCTTTCCCTCTTATCCACCTCGATATCAACCCTCTTTACTGAATCCAGCGATTCTTAGTTCACCATTATCAGCGACATTTGATTTAATGAGACATCATATGGAAAACAAATTGTCAAATTCAACATCAAGTTCAAGTGGTGAAAGGACAAAATACTCCCATGAATCAGGTTCAAATGGACAGGTAAATGAATCGAAACACTCTCACCACCATAATCATCATAATCATCATCATCACCATCGACACCATCGACATCGGGATCGTGATCGTAGCTCAGATAAAGAGAGGGAGAAACATAAAGATAAAGGAAGTGCAAGTGGTAAAAGTGATGGTGCTCATGAAAGATCTGATCCGTTAAGTTCGGTTGGTGATGGAAACACAGTTCTAAATGAGTTAATGTCCTCTTCCTTAACGGAGTCCAGTCTAATGTCCACTCCTCCTAGAACAGGAAAGGAAAGGTATACATGTAAATATTGTGGTAAAAATTTTCCTCGATCAGCCAATTTAACGCGACATGTTCGTACTCATACGGGTGAACAGCCATATAAATGCAAATATTGTGAACGATCTTTCTCAATATCGTCTAATCTTCAGCGACATGTACGAAATATTCACAACAAGGAGAAACCATTTAAATGTCCTTTATGTGATCGTTGTTTTGGTCAACAGACTAACTTGGATCGTCATTTAAAGAAACACGAATCTGATGGGCCAACTATTTTGGATGATCGATCACCTCGAAGCTCTTTCGGTGATGCAACACCAAATCATCATTTCTCACCAATGAACAATGATAATGATAAGGATGCTTATTTTAATGAGATCCGTTCATTTATGGGTAAAGTAACTGATCTTGGTAAACCTTTACTTCATGGTATTGATTTAGGTAATCTGGCCAGTGGTCTATCCAATGGTGGACCAATTAATTTAGATTTTAATTCACATCCCAATTTAAATCTTGGTGGTACTGGTGGTCTTCTTAATCATGAACATAATAAACGTGAAATTTATTCACCAATGAATGGAACCGCTGATGAACATGGTGGAGATGAAACTGCTAATGAAGATGATTTTTCTGATCAAGAAGATGAAATTAAAGTTAAAAAATCTCGACTCAATTCAGATTCATCGTTAAATGATATGGATGATGATATTGTGTCAACAGTTGATTCAGAGGGAGATCGAAGTGATTCAGAGACACCATCAATTCTGTCCACTAATTTAACCAAAAGGACCTCAGATAATGTAACCAATACAATTAACAACAATAACAATAATAATATTAGCAAATCAACGCGTGGAAGTTCAAATAGTCCATTACCACTTCGTCGTGGTCGTAACGATATTGGATCAGTAGTTGCCTGTTTATCGAAAAAAGCTGAAGCTAAATTAAAGATGAACGGACAAGAGAATGGGAAATCATCTCCAATCGATGTAACTGGATCATCATCGGCGACAGCGAAAAGCTAATTCATTTTAATAACCAAAATCGACCATCATTTTGTTTTTTTTGTATCTTCTTCTGTTGTTCTCATCGCCATCATCGTCATCGTCATCGCCATCACCATCATCAGAAGCTTAATCACTGATAATTGTTGATCAAATTGTAACACAATCAGTGGTCTTTTCTATCTCTCTCCGGAAAAGCCTTAAATCAATTGGACATTTGAAAGCCTTTTTCAACCTCGATTTTGATGATGGTAACACCGATACATTAGGTCAACAATTGATTTAATTGGTAAACAACAATTCAATTTATCCTTTCATCAGGTTGAAATCATCTTTGGTAACGTTTGACGTTTGTTTGATTGGTGTGATTTATTAATCATTGTAATTAATATTGAACCTTCACTGCTCCAAAGCAAATATAATTTTCACTCTCCCTGATTACCGACACCTAAATATAAATATTATATATAAATGTGTAAGAATATATATTTAACTGTAATTTGAAATGTAAGTGGTTTCTACATGAATTTGATGACAAATTAATCTAGTGAAATTAAGATGAAATCAATTTTGTAATCAATAAATGAGATGATAACTTACCTTAAATAATGCAGAAAAAAAGGTAAAAAGAAAACAGGAAAACCAGAAAATGACAAGAGATTCGGGTTAATACTTGAATTCTAGTCAATCCATTGAAACTGATCCATATCCAAATCAATGTTCCGGTTAACCATGATGGAGAGAGATGATAATTAATACCATCATCGAAAGTTAATCATCACCACCATCAATCAATTGAAAGAAAAAAAACAAATTCTTTAGTCAATTTTGACTATTAAACTAAACCATTGGAAGATGAAATGAAACAGTTGAAGATCCGGTTTCCATTTTAAATCGACAATCAAATCGACCCTGATTCCAAGTGATGTACAAAAATTAACTAATTAATCGGAAGAAGAGAGATTAATTAACTGCTAATCAACAATTCTCTCAATGATTCAACAATCTCTTTGGAAGAAAATTTCTGGCTATTTTCACTTGAAGATCTGCAATTTCCACAGCAACAAAGTCTATTTATCCGAAAGAAAAACGATCAGCTGATTTTGACGAATTATTTTCAAATAATTTTCTTAATGATTAACGATTCTTTGATTGTTTCGGTAGTTAATTGTTGGAAGAAAACAAAAACAAAGCTTTTATCTCTCTCTTCCTGTCGATAACCTGAAATTAATTGTGATTAATTTATGTTTTCCATTCTAATTCCTATTGTGTATCAACTCTCCTCACTTTTTGATTGCTGATTTCTTTTCACTGATTGTTCAACTTTTTCGAGATTGTAAAATGATTTATTATGGAATAATTTATCATTATGTTCTTAATTACCTTCCTCATCTTTTTCATCATCATCGACAAGTTTACATCCTGATTGAATTGAACGACAGACAAACTGATTTACCAAGATGATTATCAACAAAAGGCGATGACGGTGATGGTACAATTTACACAGCCCACAATTTAATCCAAAGAAATCAACCAATTATAATTATAAATATTTAAGCTTAGATGATTTAATATTATCTATTTCTACTTCGATCCTTAATTATCATCATCCAAAAACCAAATTATCTCTTAATTTATAACATGGCTTTCATCAAACATCATCATCATCATCATTTAATCAATCACCTTACCCTTTTTTTTTGTAATCCAATTTTAATCAACTGCAAATCAACAGCAACAAAAAAACACAAATCATTTAATCAACTCTTCAAATTGTAATTTACGTTCTTCCAATTCCCCCCTCAACTAATCATCATCAATTTATAAAAAGAAAAATCTTTAATTACAACTACTAATCACAGCGACAACAACAACAACAACAACAATACATCCAAAAGGCAATGACAGTTAATTGTTACATGTAAATGTTTACCATAATTCAATTAATCGGAGCAAAGAAACGCCAATGTTAATTATCCTGACGATGGAAAATCAATCAAGATGAAGATCGATAATAGTTAATCTATTTAATTGTCTTAATTATTGTCTCTTTAACCAATTTGCGTGACCAGTTTGCTTCTTTAATTGTCCTTCTTTGCTTGACCAAATATGGTGACCAATTTAAGATGTAACCATTAATCAACCAAAAAACACACACACACACATATTCAAACCAAATCAAAAGCAATTCCCCTTAATCAATTAACCCTCAACAATCAGTAAATCATCATCATCATCATTGTTATTTCACAATCTTCTTAATTCTGATTCTCTCATCATCAAATTGTGTATTCGTTTATTATTATATTATATATTATGACTATTATATTATCTATTATTAATTATTATTAATTATTATTATTATATTATTATGATTTTCCAAAGTCTCCCTCTCTCTTTTTGTCTCTCTCTCTCATCAACACACAAATCCCATCAATATATAAATAAAATCATCAAATTTTGAAAACGTAAATTGTTTTAATTGTTGAATAATTAGACTTTCCACTTTATCTCCGGATTGTTAATTGTTTTGCAGTTAAATTGGTGATCCTTTTTTTGGATTAAACAGTAATTTACATCTCACGTTGTTCTAATAGTAATTGTAGATTAGCATCGAAAAGTTCACATCTAAAAGGGAGGAAAAATAAAAGAAGAAACAATTAGTTAAATCATCAGAATCAATAATATTCCCTTAAAATTAATGTAACAAAAAGTGTTTATGGTTAATTGTCGTTTCGTCTTTAAAATTAGAATTGATTAGCAAGGAAAATTATTCTTCTCCCTATCATATCAGTTAACTTTCTCTCTCTCTTTTCGAAACGTTAATTAAGCACAAATCATCGATTAATAATTTACTAACCTAATTGGCATATCTAAAGAGTAGAATGGATTTTTCAGAGCATAATCGGTATACAGATCATAAATTTTTCGTAAAAGGACCTCCTTTCGTGGACCGAACGAGGATAAATCACTTATGACAATTATCTTGAGTCCCGTTAACGTTTGGAAACAGTTTAACCGGAAATTATCGGTCTCGAGAACCTCGATTCCCGAAGCTATGCTACGTGATTTGGTTGGATCTTTGATACAATTTCGATTGATTTGTAGAGACGCAATAGCGCACATGGAATGAAACATGGAGGCGAATACTATCTTCTCATTTGAGCTCAACGGTGCGATTCCAAATCTATGAGTAAGCGAAAAGGGAAAAATGAATTAATCAATAGGAAAATGGAATAGAGGTTAATTGAGATAACAATTAGTAACTCATTTGATTACTTTAAAGTTAATGGGTAATTTGATTCTTTCGCGAGAACCTCCTCCAAAATGTCTCGATCGCCAAGCTTACGACTGACAATCGGGTCTCCATTGATCGCCATCAAACTGTAACCCACTGAGAATGTAAATTATATGGATAAACAAAAAGAAAGAAAAGATTATTAGAGCAAAGTAAATTTCTGTTTAATTAGATATTAATTAGGTTAACTAACCTTTAATACCATCTCGTTGACCAAATGTAACTACTAATCTATTGTCTCTCCATGAGAGTCTTAAATCAAGTGGATATTTGAATGTTTTTTCAACCTCGGTTTCAGCTCGATGATGGTCACAGTGATATATTAATCCACCATTTTTACTGACCATAAAAACACTATAAATTACCATTATGTTGTTATAAAATTAGTTAATTAGTAGTGAAAGTGAAATCCAACCAAACAGAAAGTGAGACGACAGCAATCAACAGTGACAATTGGAAACAAAAAAAGGCAAATCAATGAATCACTTGTAGCCAATCACAAACAATTAGCAGAAACAAAAACACTTCACAAGACCTTAATTACCAGCATATATTACTAATTACGAAGGTAATGTTAAAATTAAGGTTCAGTAATTAAAAATTGTAACAAATCACAATCAGAAAACCGTGAAAACAATCAACTTAATCATAAATTGATCCATGAAACCAACAATCAAAATGTAAACAAACCCTCCCGATCTTAGGGACTTTATACTAAATGCAAAGAATTCAATTGAAAGTAATTAACTAATTTCTGATTAAAATTGATTTTGATTCATTAATTAATCGAAAAATTTACTTAATTACTGTATGACCTTTGATTTAATTCTGTTTTGGGCTTTGTTTTGCTCTTAATGTTTCAAATGTTTCAATTTCTGTTGAACCAAATCAACTGAATATGAAATTGATTCGTTAATTGTCTTGATAATTAAACGAAACTCTGAAATTAGTTATTGATCAATTGGTTGATTATTACAATTAGACAATCCTGGAGATAGATAAATGTTTAAAACTGTTAATATTAATCAGTTTAATTGATTTAAGTAATTGTCTTGATCAAGATTAGGAAGGGAAAAAATTACAATTCAATTGATCAGTTAATCTGGTTAATTGTTGAATCTTATATCTTAGCGAATTACTTTTTGTTAATTATGATTAAGTTAAAGATAATTAACAGTGAAAAATGAATTAAATTTGCTGTTCTCATTATTTTAATTGAGAGAATTGAGAAAAATTTTCTTTTCATAATTTCGTAATTGATTAAATCATTGAATCGTATTAGTAACAATCAAGTTATCAATAGAAATTAATTTAACAATTATCTTTATTATCAACATCTAATTTCACACCTTTGACCTTAACTTTTAATACAGTTGATTTGATCATCGATAATCAACAATTAAGGTGATTATTAATTCATTACCAAGTTGATTAGATAATCAAACCAAATTGTTACTCTGAGAAAACGCCTTCGTTTACAATTGATTGTGATTAGAAAATCATCACATTCAATTCCAATCAATTTCTATCATATTAAAATCACCATAATTCATTTAATTACATTTTCCAAATTAAATTGTTCGCGTTAATTGTTAGTCAACTTTTTCTTTTCCATGGATTCGGTCAGATTAAAATTCGCGCTTCTCTTTTTTTCGGTTACTAAGTGAATTATCATTTTCTCCTTAGAAACGAAGACAACATGTTTTTAGAAAAACTTGAGTTGGTTAATTAAATTGTTCTGTTAATTGTTCTGATCTTTATCGGTCATTATTTAGTAAAAATTTATATTAAGTGGTTCATGATGATTAATGAACGATTGGTTTTATCTTTTTTTATGTAACATTTGATATAATTAAGTTATCTTATTATGTTAAACTTTTCTCTCTTGTCTATTGTTACAAGTAACTATTTTTAACTTGACAATTTTTTTCCTTTACAATTAGTTTTACCTTTTTCCTGATTGCTGCTGATTTAATCAATTGTTTACCATCTCCATGGGTCTCTTAGTCACCAGTAGACTACTTAAAGTCGGCCAGTTCATTAATGGTACTCTGTTTGGACGTAGAAACCTCCTTCTCACTAACTGTTTACTATCAACTGCACTTGGATCTTTGGGTGACGCCATTCAACAGCATTATGATATTATAACGAATAAAATAAATGAAGATAAAAAAGATTTACCGATATCAACCATGCCACCATGTTCACCTTCATCTTCTCTGGCACTGTCTTCATCTTTATCATCATCTTCATCATCGTCAAGTGGAGATGAGAAATTTAATTTCACTCGAAATCTTCACATGTCAGCAGCCGGTTTTACCACGGGTTTGGTAACCCATGTTTGGTATATTCTACTCGATCGTTATTTAGGTACTAAAAAGTGTCTTAAATTGGTTACAGTTAAGGTTCTTCTCGATCAAATCATGTTCAGTCCAGTCAATCTTGCAGTTTACTTTGGAACTGTTGCAATATGTGAACAATCAACGTTTAGAAAATTCAAAGATGAACTAATCGAGAAAGGAATGGAAAACATTTATCTCTGGGAATGGGCAATTTGGCCTCCGGCTCAATATATAAACTTTTACATTCTTCCATTGAGATATCGTATTCTTTTTGACAATATTATCTCACTTGGTTTCGACATCTACTCACCTTACGTAAAATACAAGACCGAATTACGTAAAGAGAAACAAATCTCAAATCCAAATGACCAATCATCGGAATTTCCTGTTATGGTCAAGCTAAACTTGACCGAATAGAACAATTTATTATTCTATTTATAAATTTTTCTTCAATAGAATTTATAAATTGCCAATTGTTATAGTTTTTGTTAATCAAATTGACAACAATATACACAAATTCGTTACCAACTTTTATCTCAACAACTCGAACCTTTTTTTTTCAAGAGAATCAGAAAAAAAAGGAGTAAGGTTAACTAGATGATCTCGAAAGAGAATCAAACCTTAATTCTTATTAATCATTCTTAATTACTTGAAAGATAGAACAGAAATCTAATAGAAGATAAAAAAGAAATCAAGGTGAAAATCGAGAAAATCAATCAATGATTTAAATTGATTGTTAATTACAAAGTCTATCAAACCGAATCACGGAATATTTTATCAATCATTCTATTGATCATCAACAATTACTTATTCGATTATCAATTTATTAATTAGTGCAATTCAGAGAAATGACAGATAAATTGATAATAGAAAATGTAGTTAATTAACTTTTCATCTTAAATTGCAAAAAAAAAATTCTCTTAACGAATCAATTAAGACAATTAAATCCCCGCATTGGAAAAAAATTGAAACGTGAAAATTTATAAATCGTAACAATCGGTAAACAATCAAAACAAATGATCAATTAAATACTTTTATTGAAATATCATGTTGATGAATTATAATTAATTTGATTGTCTCTTAACTCATTTTATTAATAGCTTTCTATCTGGAAACACTGATCTTGGTTACAATTAATGAGGAGATGAAGTAATATAAGTAAACAATTGTGTCTTAATTGACATTTTTTATTTGTCTTAATTGTTGATGAATATCTTGACAGTGTAAGCATTATTTTTACCTCTTCCATTTTCTTAATCATCTTAATTAATTTGGTTCTCTCTCTCTCTCTTTCAGATTGGTAGAAGTGTAAATATCCCAATGATACAATAATATAAAGCTCGATGTGCGCTCATTCATGATACGAGATTACAAAACAAAAAGAATCAGCTATAATTATCAAGAGAAGAGGAAAAGAAAGAGGAAGATGAGGATGAGGATGATGATCAGTTATTGAGTAACGATTATCGAGTAACCAGGATTCTTATCAGTTACAATTAAAGTCATACTTTGAGACCGGATCAGTCCGGGAATCGAAGATGAAAAGGTAAGTAAAGAAGAATAAGAAGATGATGATGATGAGAAAGGGGGAGAAAGAATGAGAGAGAGAGAGAGAGAGACGGAGAGAAGAAGAGAAGGGAGAGAGAGAGAGAGAAAGTACTGATGATGATGAGAATAAAAAAGAGAGGGAACGAACTAAGGGAGAAAGAGAGTGAGCGAAATTCAGTACTTATGATTTCGTTATCATCTCATCTGATTCTTTACATGGGAATGCTTTCAATCTCTTTCTATTTCTCTTTCTAATTTCCCATTATTCTTTTCTCATCATCTCAATCATCTCTCTCTCACTCACTTTTCCCTCTCTCTCTCTTTTCTCTTCTCTCTCAATCATCTCCAGATCACACTCTTAAAATAATTATCTTTATCTTATTTCGTTGTTATTTTTTTTTTTTTTTCTCTTCATTTCTTAATATTATCCAACCTCTTTCAGAATCTTCTCATTCATGGCGATTTTTGCTTGGGTTTCCTGAATCTTTTTCCTTTTAATTTCTTCCATTAAGGCATCACGAAGAACGGCGATTGGACTTGTCACCGATAACCTTGGAGGTGACACACCACGAACCCAATGTCGCAGATTGAGTGACCCTTGTTTCTGTCGATACTCATCCAGAAGATTTTGTAGATAATCCATTTGTAAGGTTAAACGATTACGATTATTACGAGATTTAGGTGATGAGCCCTTTTCGTCCGTATGAGCTGCCGCTTCTCGAATCAACTGGATCAACTTTTGTACCTCATAGAAAAGTTGATCTTCACTTGGTTGCACTGCGTTTACTTCATCTCCATCTGAAGCAACTCCCGGTTCGATTTCGTCACTTGTTGAACCTTTTCTTTCTTCCTCGATATTACCAACAATTCCACTATCGATTTCACTTGGACCATTTTCTTTTCTTTCTCCGAAAATTCGACTTCCCATTCTTCCAACGGTTCCATCAAATTCAGATGATGACGAAGGTGATGATGAAGATGAAGATGATTCCACATAATCAGACGAATCTCCATTCGAATCATGCATCATAGGACCTTCGAGAGCTTCTTTGATTAAGGTTGTTGCATAATCCAAACTTTTACCTTCATCGGGATTAGAATTTGAATGGGACGGAAAAGTGTTCGAAGAGGAAAATGGATCACTAATCACTGGAGATGGATAAATCTTTGGTAATAGAATCGATGATCGTACATTTTGATTGTTATTATTGTTATAATTAGTTGGTGGGCCTGATTGTGTATTATGAGATTCTTGGCTAACCAATGAATGGAATCGATCATCACCATTATTGTTATCGTTTTGATTAAGAGCTGATTCACTTATGATATCGGAAATTTCGACATCAGTTGAAGACGGAGAAGAAGAAGAAGATGATGATGATGATAATGGCGAAGATGATGACGAAGAGGAAAAGGAAAGAGAAGATGAAGAGGACGAAGATGATGATAATAAATCTAAATTTGATGGTGGAGATGATGAAGATAATAACGAGGAAGATGATGAAAAATCATGAAAGGCACTTGGTGAACCATGATGTTGATGATGTGACGGATTTTTATCTGTAATTAATGAAGGTAAGATACTTGATTGGCTACATTTAATTAAAGTCAATAATGTCATTAGTTTGATGCAAAATAAATGCATCGTTTTTTAATTTTATCGAACCAAAAAGTTTGATAATCACTAGAATTATGTTTATAATTTTTTCTCTTTTCTTTTTTTTTTCTTTTCTTTTCTTCCTTTCCTTTCTCTCTCTCTCTCTCTCTCTCTCTCTCTCTCTTTTCTTAAAGATGATAGATGAAGAGATGAGATTGAGATGACAAACGTTGGAGTGGATAAAGTGAATGAAAAACGTTGATTGTATTTGAAGAACAACAATATAACTATAATCAATCAATTGATAAATTCTCAATCAGGTCACAATAAAGAGAAACGAAATGATAAAGGAAAAAGTAACGGAAAGGATAAACAATCAAGCAAACAATTAGGAGATGATTAAAGGAAGACACGTTTAGAATTGGATGTAAAACATTTGGATTACAATTTACGATGATTACAATTTGAATCGTTGGGCTTTATTATCTTGCAATTTTCACTAATTGTGATTAACCTGAGACTTTAACATTGTCACTTGTTCAACTTTCAAGGCGAAAATGAATCTTCCCTGAATGTTCAACGATAATGTTAAGAGGATGAAAAAGGGAGATTGAAAATTATGGGTGAGAAAAAGGGAGAAGAAGATGAAGTAGATGATGAAGATGAAGATGGTGGTGGTGGTGGTGAAGAGAAGAGAAGAAGATGATGAGAGAGAGAGAGAGAGAGAAAGATATTTATATACAAGAAGATCGTTCGCTTTAAGATTATGTGAATGCAAAGGTAAAGCAAAGGGGAGAAAGAGAAAAATATGAAAGAGAATTGGATGATTTTCTAGAAAATAGACAGAGACCGAAAGAGAAGATAAATTTTACGATCTTTCAGTTTGTTGCTAGTCTATTTTATCGTAATAATTAGCAGCAGATCTCTTGGAATGACGTTTACTTGGAAAGTTATTACAAAGATCGTTCTCAAAACTTTTCTTTCTTTTTAGCTAATTTCTTTTTTTTTTCTTCTTTTTTCCACTCCCATTAGTTTTCTCTATGGTTATCGAGGAATCATCTTCATGAAATAACTTCATTCATACGAAAAGAGGTTTGGTATAAATAACATGGAATACGATGAAAATGAACGAACTGTCCATGGGAACATGATGAAAGGTCTCATCACTCATCATCATCATCGCTGATTTGATTGTTTGGCAAGAAGCCCAAATAACAATTTAACTTTGTCTAATCATTGATTCAAATATAAACATCAATTTTTGACAGATTCACTCATCATCATGATCATCATCAGACTCATGGTGAACATGATTTATCAATGATTTTCCATGATACTCTCAATAATTAACAGAACTAAATCAGCTTCCGTTTTCAAAGTTTAGTTAATTTCTTTTCTCTTTCCAATTTTTTTTCTCCAAATTTAATTTTATCTCTTTTTCCTTTTCCTCAACAGAATAACTTGAATATTGGAATTATTTTTATTTCTCTCTCTCTCTCTCTCTTTCTGTTAAAATAAACAAAATTAAAGGAAAACGCATCAACCAGAATGGATGATGATGATTACAATTAACGACGATCACAAGTCTTTGAGCTTTAATCGATTGAATTTCATGGAAAATGTTATTGGAAAACATGGAAATGAATCAAGAATTGGAAGAGACTAAGATGATGATGAAAACAAAAGTAAATCAAACGATTATGATTAAAGATTTTCGGATTAACTTGATTTACTTTTCTGTAAGTAAATCGAGCAGAACTTGAATTGAATTAAAGTGCGTTTGTAATTTGTGAACATTATCAATTGTATGTCGTCATTGGTTTGAAATCGACTTGGCACCAACAAGAATATCAATCGAGTATTTTTACAGACTAATTCACTTTACTGAAATTAACGTTTCTCTTCAAGGTGACCACTTTTCCTATTGAATAACGACGACTCAGAATATAAGATGATTACGATTGAAGAAGAAAAATATATTCACAAGACTTGGGAAAAATATTCTGAATTCTCATGATTATGATTGATCAATTTGTAGATATTATTATTTTTCTTTCCTCCTTTGTGATTCCAATCTCTTCATGTGTCATCAGACTTTAATTAGTCGCAATTTGTTTTTGTTCATATTTTTTTTTCTCCAGTTGAAAGAAACAAAAATAATAACATCTCTTTCTCAGAATATAATCTTATTTTTCTCATCAAAATAACATAATCAATTGGTAAACAATTAAATCCTTTTATAAGCCTGAAACAAATGACTTTGGGTTAAGAACCTTAAACCCAACACAATCACTAAAATCAATCTCTATAAATGACTGATTAATGTCTAAAAATTGCCAAGTTACCATTGTTACAAAAATAAACTAAATTATCTAGCAAATATCTTAATTTGTTTATCCCAATTAATAATCCACCATGATGATTATCAGCAACAAAAAAATAATAATTAAGAAAGAAACATTTTTATCAAACAAAAAAAAACAAAACAAACACAAAAAAGAGAATCAAAAAAATTGAAAATGAACAACTAATTTGATAAAGAGATTTCTCTCCATGGTAAGTAATTAACTGGATCAACACATCCAAAAGAAATTAACAAATGTTTTAATCACTGAGATTAAGAAGAAAAAAAAATTGAAACAATTTGATTTAATTTGATTAGATTAGATTTTTAAACCATTTAGATTATCAAAAGAAAGGGAGAGGCAACTCAACTTCTATTTTCCCCCTTCGATAGAATCGATGTTCGCTCGATACAATCGATACTATCGGAGAAGAAGATTAAAAGGATCATCGTGATTGGTCAATTCGTAAGAAAATCAACCAATAGGAGAAGCGAAAATTTTGTTTCGTTTAAATTCAAACACCGAAGCGCAATCAGTTGGTTCTTTAAAGTTGTTAGTTTAAAGTTGTCTCTTCATTTTAATTGTCTTCTTTTCTCTGTCCGTTAATTCAGTTTGTTACAATATTTTAATCATCTATTTTTTTTCTTCTTATCTTAATCATCTTCATCTTCATCTTCCTCTTTCCTTTCTTTCATTTTCCTTTAATTAATTCTCACCACTCTTTGTTCCTCTCTCAAGTTAAAGAGTTCACTTTGAGACTCACTTTTCTCTGTCTTCCATTTTAATTTAACTTCAATCAATTAATTACTATTTTTATTTTGGTGTCATTTTCTTGATTGATTTTTATTATTATTGTATTTTTAATTCCACTATATTATTATTCTTTCATTGGTGTGTATCTGCCTTTTTTTCCCCACTTTAGCTAATTGTTCCTCTCTCAAAGTGTGTCCATGTTATTTGACAGTTTCTGTTACCATTATAATTAATCATCTCTCTTTGTCTTCACCTTCACTTTTTCTCTCTATTGTGTAATTAGCCTAATTCTTTTTTTTTCTCTCTCTTTTATTTCAAATTTATCTCATTGTCCAGTTGAGACTCTTTTTTTTGGTCTTTTACACTTATGTTTCTTTCATCAAAGTGACTAATTTTTACATATCATCATCACCACATCATCACCTTTGCCACCCTCTCATCTTTATCATTTGAAACTCACTTTTTTTCGACTTTGTGTTCACCATGTTATCCAAAAGAGTTTTTGGTAATCGGTCCAATTTATCAAATTTGACTCTTCACATTGAAGATGATCATCGAATCAGTTTAAAACGAGCATCTGAAGAGCCTTCTCATTTAATTGCTACCAAGAAGAGCAAACCTGAAGTGTTAACCAGAAGAGCCAAAGCTGATCTCAAGAATCAAGAAAATGTCACCAAAACTATTGAAAGAAAAGTTAAAAGTATTTACATTGGTAAACCTTCCGCTGCATCGACCAAATCAACCATCATCACCAATCCAACTGTAAAAACCTCCAATGTTTCCTGTGAGAAAATCCCAGAGGAAATAATTAAAGAAGAAAATAGTTTGGCTGCTCTATCTGAAGAAGAATCTTTCGAATTTGAAGAAGTGAAAGTGGAAGAAATCACACCAATTAAGGTTGAGTCCCCAGTGAAAATTGATTTTAACAATCCCCTCACATACTATTCTAAACCTAAAGATTTACCTGAAGACCTGGATGATTATGATTCGAAACATATTCTTGATACATTTTCTGAGCCTCATTATGCTTGGGATATTTTCAAATATTATAAAGCAAAGGAAACGGAAAGTTTGACCACCAAATACCTAAGTAATCAAAAAGAGATTACCAAAAATATGAGATCAATTCTCGTTGACTGGCTAGTTGAAGTTCAACAAAATTATACACTCAATCACGAAACTTTATATTTGGCTGTTAAAATGGTTGACCAATATCTCATGAAGGAGAATCTTAAGAAAACCGATTTCCAACTTCTTGGAGCAACAGCGATGCTGATTGCGGCTAAATACGATGTAAGTTGACCTTTTCTTTACCTTTGTTGCTCTTTGTTCTTTTGTTCACTTGTTCAAAGGCCAATCCTTAAACCAGTTTTCTCTTCTCTAACGTCTTTACCTCGTTCTTTCATCTTCTGGTTTAAATTTATCTTCTCAGGAAAGAATACCACCCGCCATTGAAGATTTTGTCTACAGTTGTGACAATCTTTACAAAAAGCGTGATATTATTCTCATGGAGATGGACATTCTCAAAAAATTGGATTTCAATCTTGGCTTTCCCCTTTCATATCGTTTTCTTCGGCGTTATGCCCGGGTAAGTTTTTCTTTAATCAACTTATTTTAATTTTATCCACTGGATTAAATACTTAATCCTAATGTATAAATTTTTTTTAATCTTATGCTAATCGCCTTTTAACTTCTGTTTATCATGTCCAGTGTGCTGATCTCTCTATGGAAGAGCTTACTCTTGCTCGATATATTCTGGAAATGTCTCTAATGGAATATGAGCTAATCGAAGAGCGAGAATCATTCATCTCTGCTGCGGCTCTTTTACTTGCTCTTAGAATGAAGCATTTCCCTTCTGTCAACGTTTGGGTAAGTTCGTAGTTCGATTTAGATTGTTGAATACATGAGGGTGTGTCCATTTGCCCATTTTAAATTCTACTAAGACACTTTCTAACTTATTTTTTCCATTTCTCTCTTTGTTTTTATTCTGTAGTCTAAAGCGTTGAATTATTATACTGGTTATACCGAAGAAGAATTAACCCCTTTGATGTTCAAATTGAACCAAATGATATCTGCTCCCCCCAAACAAGCACTTTCATCCATTAGGTCAAAATACTCTCACAGGTAAGTAAAATTGTATTTTCTTTTGATGAATGAACAACTTTTATTTTCTTTTCTGATCAATTGTTTTTTCTTGTTTAATCTTTTCCACAGAATATTCATGGAAGTTGCAAAAATTTCACCCCTCCCAAAAGAGGTCACCAAATAGTTAATTCAATTTTTACTCTTCATCTCAAAGTATCTCGACAATAACATCAAAAATATCTGCTTAAAGACATTGGAATATCATTGAATTATTAGTTCCATGTTCCTCTTTATTATTGAATTGTTTAAATCCTGAACCCAACACAATATGAAAAGTTTTTCCATATGATAAAGATGATTAACAAATTTTGGGACTCATTCTAATCTACTTTTCAATGGAAAGATATTATGGTGTAAAAAGATGTAAACAAAAGCTTATGCACACATAGATACACTTTTTTTTTATAATTATACTTTGAAATTACTTAAACAAAAAGAAAACTGAAAAAAGATTAATGAAATGATGCAAATGAAGATGAACCTGATGATAAATTAAATAGTAAACAAAGTGAATTAAGATGCAGAAAACAAAATCAATGCAACTTTAAATCCTGATGTCAACAAAAAGCAACAATTTATGAAAAAAGTACAAATTAGATGATCCAACATTCACTTTTTCCCATTTCTCCAATTCTCTGAAAATTTTGATAGCACAAAATTATTTTTATTATAATTTTACCCAATCGACCAATTAGTTAATCCAATATTTATATTTATTGTCAATTTTCATATCATTTCATCATTTGTAATCAAGTATTTGCGATAAAATGGAATTAAAACAAAAGACAACGAATCTATCCTTGTCGAAGATTCTAAATATCGAAAATTTCTCATTTTATCGTTAGAACATTTTCTAAATTAATAGTAAATAAATCACTTCAATCAATTCTAATTATAATCAAATCTTTTTGCTTAATAAACGAAATCTTTTTTGAAGAAAATTATGTTTACATTTTTTTCCATTGTAATTAAATCTAATTTTTAATCCAATTCAATTTAATTGGATTCATAGAATATGTAAATTAACGAAAGAAATTAAATTGAACAAATTAAAGAGAAATCAAATTCTAATTGTTGGTTAATTTCTTATGATTGAATTTTTCGAAGATCAATTCGATTCTCATCTAAACTAATCAACTAATCATAGAAGAATCATAACAACTAATTAATTTTCTCATCTATCAAATGACAGAAAATGTAATCAGTTAACCAAATTAATTGTCGATTTGTAATGATGATAAACTTTTCCTTAATTGCGAACAATCAACTGATCTGAAACTAGAAAAATCGATTGAGTTGAGACAAAAAGTAAAAGAATAACCCGAAAAAAAGAGTTAAAAATTTACCGAATTTGATACCAGTTAATTGTTGACGATTAGAAAATTAACTCAGTGATTGGATTAAAAGAGAAATGTTAATTTAGAAAATTAAATTAGATGACCAATCGAATAAAGAAATTAAAAAAAAGAAAATGTGATCGACCAAGAGAAGAAGAAGAAAACGAAGTAAAAAAAGAGAGAGAAACAGAAATAGAATTTAAACTGGATTAAAATTGATCATATTGTGAGAAAAGAAGAAGAAAAAAATCAGTTGCAATTAAATTGTAAACAATTAACGTAATAGAAAGAAAGAAAAAGGAGAAAAGTTAATCACAATTAAAAAAGGAAAAGAAAAAGATTCAAATTTTTTTCCAAAATTCGAGTAACCAGTGCGCATGATCTCGATTCACACTACCGACCAATCGCTGCGCTTTCCTGTTATTTCCTGTGAATCAGTGTTATTTTAATCTCTTTTTATTTCATCAAATTAATTTCTGAGTTAATCATTAACTAATCATTGTAATAATTGGCTTCATTTCTATTGAACATTTTCATTAATCATAATCACACAAAATCCATATTCTCTCTCATTGTCTGGTTTACATTTAACTATCATCGCCATCAGATCACCTTTAAACCATTACAACACCAACACCATCAACTATTCACACAATTAGTGTACCTACCATTTTTTTTCTGTCTTTATTATTTTTTCTCTTTCTATTTTTTTTATTCTCTCTATTTTCTCTCTCTCTCTCTCTGTCTCTGTCTCTCGCTCTCGCTCTTTCTCTCATTTTTTTTATTTTCTGTTTAATTGATTTTATTTTCGTTAAATTTCTGTGTTTCATCATTTTAACCTCTCCATTTTTTGTCTAATTTTTCCTTTAGATGCTGAGATCGCCTCACATTTCACTACTAACATTTCATCTTTCATTGTAAAAATAACTATTCCCCCACTTCAATCCAGCCCTGATAAAGGATGAAGATTGATAGGGCCAAATTGAAGAAAAGCTCCTCGGAAGTGGTAAGTTAATTCGTCTATTTAATGTATGCTTTTCAGCATCTTCTTATCCCCTAATCAATTTCTTTTGTTTCTACCCAAATTCTGGGTGATGTAAGTAATTCCCTATGTGTGTTATGGAAAAAAAGTGTGGCTTGGTTTTTGTGCTCTATCTCTCTCTCTCTTTCTCTATGTATACGCATTCACATTCACCATGATACTTGATATATTCAGCATGACCATTCTGGTTATTTTTTATTTCATTTTCGCTTTTTACTCCATTCTCTTGGTTATTTGAACCTTCAAGGTTAACAATTTTATTAATTAATATAATATAACAGATTAATTGGCTGACTCTTGACATTTGAGGGTCAATCAGTTTGTATTACGTTGTGTCTTCTCATCTTGGAAGATTTTTCACTCAACTTGTCTTTCTTTTCTTTTAGTTGCCTTTCTCTTCCCTTTCTTCTCTTTCTCTCCTCCTCTCTTTTTTATTTCTTTTTTGCTTCTCTTTCTTTTTTTCTGATTTCTCCTCTGTGTCTCTTACTCTCATTCCTTTTCCTCTTTTTACCTTTTTCTTTCTTTCTTTTTTTCTTTTTTCTCTTTCCATCAGCCTACCCTTTAAATCAATGCTCTTACTATTTTGTCTTTTTTTGTAGCTTTCTTTGCTCATCATTCTCTCTCTCTCTCTCTTTCTTCCATACAAGCACACAAACACCACTAGAGTCTCTTTCTTTATTTACTCTTTCCTCCTTTGTATAATTCAAGCATTTTAACTCTATTCTCTTTTTATTCTTATATAGCCACCTGATTGTAGGCTACTTGTTGAAAGAATCCGAGGATGTAATGAAAAAGAGCTCCTTGAGTTACTTAAAGGCATCAAGACCTGGAATTATGGCAAAGTAAGTCGCACCATGGATAATAAATTGCGTTAACAAACGGACAAATGTCTACTTTTATTAGTCAGGCTTAGCTATTTTTTTACTCATTAACTGTATCTCTTTCTCTATCTCTCTCTCTCTCTAATTATCTATACACAGTGCGAGCTATACCATTGGATTGATGTACTTGATTTGTTTGACTCAATCTTGGCAAAATGTTGTCAAAAGGAACGGGAGACTCAATGGACCTTACCTGTTGATCTCTCAAACAACTCATTGGTAAGAGATTTTCTTACCTTAATCTTAATGAATCAATTGTACCATCTCTAATACATGCTTTCATCTCTCTTTTTTTTCTATATCCTCATTGGAAATGTTGTTTGGGTTGATGCTGATTCTACCTTTGTTCCTGTTTATAGAAGGAGTTATGTATACCTATCTTACAATTCACTGCTCTTTTAATAGAGCACAGTTTCTCCAAACATGTCTACAATTCGATGGAGGTGAGCTTAATTTGTTGTCATTCTCAATTTCTATCAAAATCAACATGATAATAATCCGATGGACCATAGAAACAAAAATATTTTAATATCTGATTACGTTAAGCTTCTAGTAATTGTTTGTTTCTATCGGAATTAAAAAGCATCATCATTTCCCATTGTTTATTAGCCATGCAAAACTAATTTTATCTTTTTTTTCTATCTCAACCATTTCCAGCACCTAACAACACTTCTCTCCTCGAGTGATATGCAAATCGTCTTGTCTGTTCTCAACTTACTTTATGTGTTCAGCAAACGATCTAATTTCATTACACGTTCAAGTCCAGACCGTAGAAAGGCCCTGATGACTCGGCTTAATTACTTAGCTGAGGTGAGTTTATATACGAATTTCTGTTTTTCTGTGCAAGGCATCATGTACTGCAATCGGTATCACCTCATGTGACTGATTGAGTTTTAAAAATGCTAGATAAAAAATCTGATGGTTGGCACAATTGTTGAGGTTTAACTTTTATACTTAACAATTGACTACAACAATCAACAATTATTATTATTATTATTATACTTTTGAGTATTTTTCTCATAAAAATGATTCCATTTACTTTTTTTTCTCATAACAGAGCTGGGGTGGTAAAGAAAATGGTTTCGGTTTGGCAGAATGTTGTCAAGAATTAAAAATGTCCTCTTACCCTTTAAGTGCCACTACTCTTCACTTTGAGTATTATTGTGATGAAAGTGGTCCAAATCCCCATCCATTCAGTACAACCGGTAATAAAAAGTCACCAAGCAGCTTAAATGTAATTCATATTGAAAATGTGGATAACATTAAAGATAAAACAATAGCTCAAGTCATGGAAGATCTACTTGAAAATCATCATGTGCCCAAAGAGAAACAAATGCTTCTCTTTACACATTTAAGGTTGGCCCATAATTTTTCCAACTACCGTAAAAGGCTTCATTGCGTTCAAGCTCGCCTTCAAGCTCTCTCAATCATAGTCCATAGTAATGCAATGTCCATGTTTGATAATGCTAATAATGTTTTATATAATGGTTTCATCGAAGAATTAGTCGACGTTCTAGAATTAAAAGAACTCAAATTATTGGATATCAAAGCTGCTGCATTGCGAACATTAACTTCGGTGATCCACCTCGATCATACAACTCAATTAAATACCATTATTGATGTTACCGGTGCTGCTTCTTACCACGGGTTCTTGCCAACTCTTGTTAGAAGTTGTATTCAAGCTCTTATTGATGGTAATACCAACCTGTTCCCTATATCACTGGCCACCGCATTGTTTTCGTTTTTGTATCATCTTGCTAGTTATGAAAATGGTGGTGAAGCTTTGGTTTCATGTGGAATGATTGAATCCTTACTCAAAGTTGTTAGTTGGACTGGAAGTGACCCTGAGCATATAACCTTTGTGACTCGTGCTGTTCGAGTTATCGATTTGATTACAAATCTTGATATGAATGCTTTTCAAAGTCATGGTGGATTAAATGTTCTCATCAATAGATTAGAATATGAAGTTGATATTTGCCGAAAAGATTGTCCATTCGAAATTGATGTTGGCCATCAACGTCGAGAATCTCAGGATGGAGTTCTAACTGAAACCTCTGCATCGATAAGTTCAGTCGATGCCTTATCTAGTGAGAAAGCCTCAAGCTCCAACGCAATGGAAATTGAAAATATCGATAAATCTGGTCAAACCTCTGGAAACATGTCTTATAACAGAGATCTTCAAATATATCCCCAAAGAGCTGCTGTTTTAAAATCAATGTTCAATTTCCTTAAAAAAGCTATCCAAGATTCATCCTTTTCTGATAGTATTCGTCATCTTATGGATGGTCCATTACCTAAATGTCTTCGACACATCATAAGTAACGCTGAGTATTATGGACCATATTTATTTATGCTTGCCACTGATGTTGTGACCGTTTACGTGTTTCAAGAACCTTCTTTACTTTCCTCTCTACAAGAAAGTGGCTTAACAGACGTAGTTCTCCACGCTTTACTTGTTAAAGAGGTAAATTCATCCATAGATTGTTTCATCATAATTTAGCTTTTTCTAGCTCTTTCCATTATTTTCTAATTCTTTTATCTTCTTCCATCTAGATTCCTGCAACTCGAGAAGTGATAGCCGGTTTACCAAATGTCTTTAGTGCTCTGTGTCTCAATACTCGAGGACTAGAAGCTTTCACTCCCCATAAACCTTTTGAAAAAATATTCAAATTGTTACTTTCACCCGATTATTTACCTGCAATGAGACGAAGAAGAAGCAATGATCCAATGGTTGATACAGCTTCCAACTTGGGTAGTGCTATGGATGAGCTCATGAGACACCAACCAAGCTTACGATCTGAAGCAACTACTGCTATCATTAAGCTTCTAAAAGAGTTATGTGAACTTGGATCAGATCCTAACTTTGTCTGTTCAAAACCTGCAGCCAAAGGACCTGAAGCTAATGCTGGACAAAGTGACAGTATTAGACCTGTTATGCCTGGTGGAAGTGCCGAAGCGGGTTCATCAGATGAAGAAGACGAAGAAGATGAAGAAACAACTGCGGCACCAGCAACTGGATCTCTCATCGTACCTAAACCAGTACAAGAACAGGCTAGCACATCATCATCTGCTCCTGCAAACAATAAACAACCTGTTCCATTGGTTGATTATATCCTTCATGTCGTAAGTAGTTACAGAACATTGAAAATGACTTATCAAATAATGAGAATACCTTTAAATAGCAGTTTAAATCTATTCATACAGCAAAAGAAAAATTTGCTGAGAAATGTTTCCTAGTTATAGGGACCATTGAAAAAGTTAATGTCTTTATCTATTCGATGATTAACTTTAAATGGAAAAATTCAAATTTTATTTTTAATTGATTGTTTTTTTTTTTTATTCTTTTTCTACTTATAGATGCGTTTAATTGATGCAATTCTTTCAAATAATTCCACCGATGACCATTGTAGAGAATTCGTCAAACAGAAAGGATTAGAACCTTTGCTCAACATTTTACGTCTCCCTAATCTTCCAATTGACTTCCCATTGACACCCGCTTGCCTCTCGGTATCAAGTGTTTGCAAGTCTCTTCAGGTGAGAGATGAAGATTATCTTAAAATTGTTGAATTTATTCACTAATTGTTTCAATTTATCTATTTATTTATCAGGTTCTTACCTATGAGCGTGAAGTCTTAAAATTAGGATTAACAAACCTAAACGAAGTTCTCAATAGTCTTGAACCTTTACATCAACCTCTCCCTGCTCCTGGTGGTAGCGTTCTTCTTGAAGAGCTTGTTCAAGCAACCTTGAAGGCTCAAGGTACTGGGTGTGATCCCCTCCAATCAGCTAGTTTGACGCCTTTGCTACATCACATGTCAGCTGCTCACGCGTACATCATAATGTTTGTTCACGTTTGTAGAACAGGACAACCTGAAATACGAAATCTCACTGTCACTCATTGGGGATCTGATATTGGTCTTAATGTTCTTAAAGGTTTAAGTCAACTTTATACTTCATTAGTATGGGAAAGTACAGTTCTTCTTGCTCTTTGCTCCGATTCAACTGCTACAGTCACTTGGAAATTCGGTCGACATCAAGTAGAGAAACTTGCTTCTCTCTCTAAAGACGGTGACAATTCTCCAACCGGTCGAAGTTATGAAGAAAGTAAAATGGAGATCGAAGAGTCTTGCGATGGGCTTAGTGTAGATACTGAAAATAGTAAAAAGAAAGATGTTAAAGCACCGAAACCAGGCCCACAAATGAAACAAATTAAACCATTGCTATCAAGTGCTTCTCGTTTGGGTCGTGCTTTAGCAGAGCTTTTCGGCCTTTTGGTTAAACTTTGTGTCAATTCTCCCTTGAGACATCGACGAAATCATCATTCCATTCCAACAATACCTGTTGCACCATTTCCTGCTGCGAGATCAGTTGCTACTCATTTGACTAAATTGTTAGCCAAAGGTCTTTCCTGGACACCACCTCCTACTTCTCCCATTCCAAAATTCAGGCAAGTCAAAAATTCTAAAATGATTAAAGTCTCGTTGCATTTGGTATCTACGTATTGTGTTTTTTTCGTGATCAGTACGTTCGAATCGATGCTAGAAAAATGACGACTCCATCGTTTCTTTGGGCGAAATTTAATTCGTTCGTAAGCTGGTAAATTTGTTTGTAACAATTTAATTTTTTATTTACAATTTAGGCTTACATTTTATACATGCTCTGTTGGATTTACTTCACCAATGCTATTCGATGAGCGAAAATTTCCGTATCATTTGATGTTGCAGAAATTTGTCCAATGTGGAGGTCAAGATGCTTTCTTTGAGTAAGTGCATTTAAGATTACATTTATAAATTCGATAATTTACTTTTCACTAACTAATCTTTATTTTCTTCTAACAGCACTTTTCATTGGGCATTAACACAAGGAGGTAAAGTTCCAATTGAAGAAGGCTTAGAGCATTCAAACGTTCCTGATGGAACTGGTGAATTTTTGGACTCATGGCTTATGTTACTTGAAAAAATGGTTAATCCAAAAATGGTTCTTGAATCACCTCATACAATGGTTACTAAAACAACACAACCCAATTTTGTACCATTCGATCCTGTTAAATATCTTATCAAGACTCATAAAAAAGCTTTTGAATGTGTAATGCATTTGTGGAATAAGAAACCACTTAAAGTTTACGGTGAACGAATGTCTGAATCAGTTCTTGCCATATTCTGCCATTTACTTAAAGGCGAGGTTATTATCCAAGAAAAATTATCAAAAGAAAAAGATCAAGAAGCTAAAGAAAGTACAAGTACAACTACCACTTCAACCACAGCTCGAACCAGTCGACGAAATGAGCTGGAAGAACAAGGAATTAGTAATGAACATTTACAACAACTGATGGATATGGGATTTGCTCGAGAACTTGCTCTTGAAGCTCTTGTTCATGCAAACTCTCTTGAACAAGCAACTGACTATTTGCTCAGTCATCCTTCACTTACAAGATCTGGTGGTTCAGACTGGGAAATGTCAGAAGAAGATCAAATGATTAGAGCAATTGCAATGTCTCTTGATGATAATGTTACTCCGGATGCTCCTGCCGAGGGAACATCTCAAACTCAACCTGATAAAGATGATGAACCAATGTCTAAAGAAACAATCGATGGATTTACCAATGAATTACTTCCTGGATGTTTGAAGCTTCTCGATACTTTACCTGAAACAGTTTATCGTGTCTGTGATCTACTTCTTGCTGTTTGTCATCGAAATAGTGAAAAATGGACTGAGCAAATGTTGAAACAACTTATAAAAGAAATAAGTATTAACGTTGATAAATTATTGGAAAGTGCTCAACCGATGACTTCTTCAGATAAAAGAAGTATTCCCGAGTGGGCGTCACAAGTAAGTCAATTACCAGAAGCCTACAAATCTGCCACCCGAATCCATCTATTCTCTCTTTTGTTTGAAGAGAAACGTAATCAATGCGCTGCCTTGATTAGTGAGACCAATCTGATTAACAATCTAGTGCAATTATTGGAATCTGCACAAAATGCTCTCGTTTTAACTTCATCAAATAAATCAACTTCACTATCCACACCTAAATGGCTTTCACCAGCCATTTTGTTGATTGATCTTTATGAGAAATCAGCTATTGCCTCGGCTCGAAGAGCTCCTTTGTTGGCTCTTCCTAGACGTCAATGGAAATGGTTTGATGATCGAAGTGGTAAATGGACCATCTATACTTTGAATAATAACAAAACAATTGACGATGCTTATAAAAATGGTGATTCATTCGTTAGATTCACAGCAAGTCGTCGTAAATATACTGTACAGTTTAACACAATGGTACAAATCAATGAAGAAACAGGAAATTGGAGACCAATCATGTTTTCTAGTGACGATAAAGCCATGGAGGTAACTGAAGAAGCAGCGGCAGCCTCATCTTCAAAAACATCCACACTGAACTATGTTGTTGTTAAAGGACTTGAATCCTATCAATGTACAGCAATTATAAGAGCTTGTACTGGTTTTATTGGAATCCCTGTTGACCCTGAAACTTTACACGCTGTTATGAGGTTGGTTTTACGGTTAACTCGTAACTACGAACAAGCTGCTATATTTGAAGAGCTTGGTGGTGTTCGAAGTATCTTGAACCTCACTCAAGTTTCTGGTTTTACTGGATTTACTTCATTAGCATCGTTGATCATCCGTCACGTATTAGAAGATCCTAGTACATTACGATATACAATGGAACGTGTTATCAGGGCGACTCTACATAATCCGACAATCAATTGTAAAGAAATGAATTATATCCTTCGAGTATTGGGTCCAGCTGCTTGTAGAAACAAGGAACACTTTATTGAAATAACGAAATCTATTCTGAGGATTTCTCTTTATCCTCAATCTAAACGTGAAGAAGATGAAACTCGTATGTTGAGTGCTCAAGCTGTTCAAACTCTTCGAGCATTACCTTCTAAACAGACCAATCAAGTTCATGTACCAAATAATATTATCAAAGAAGTTATTTATGATCTCCTTAATGCTCTTACTGTCAAAACAAATGGCCAAGTTCAAGAAGAACTTTCTATTACTATTGAAAAATCTGTTATCGGTCAAGGATCCGCTGGTGTCTCATATTGTCCTGTTCTTTCTCGTGGAATTGCTCGTGAATCATCATCTGATTTAGTTCAACAAGATGACGATGAGATAACTGCACCCGAAGAACCTATTGCTGGCCCAAGTGATAAAGTTGGAGGGTTAAATTTTAAAGACGAAGAATCTGCGAAAAAATCTCGACCATTACTTAATCAATCTTGCATCATGCGTCTTTTAGCTGAACTAATTCGTTCTTATCCTGTTGTTGCTAAATTAATCGCCGAGCATGTTTATCATGCTGGACACAATGATTTGATATCAGAAGAATGTTCCGCTTTATCCTTCATCTTGGACCATCTTTTACCAAACACTCAAAATGTTGGTGATAAAAACTGTCCAGCTTTAACTCGTGTGTTAATTGCAGCTTTGTCATCATCTAATCATTGTCCCGAAGCTCAAGCTATACTTGTCAGCGAAGTTAAATCTGCTCTTAATCGTGCCTTAGCTTTACCAGAGTCAAATGAAAAACATGTCAGAGTCCAAGCGATTCTTGGTATAATCAACACAATGATTGATTCGTGTCCATCAGTAGCTCAAACTCCTCAAAACCCAATTCGTACACAATCAACGCCTCTTAATAACATGGTTAAAATAATGTTGAGACGAGGAATCGTCAATGACCTTGCAAGAATAACCCACTCACTAGACTTTTCATCACCACACATGGCATTAACGGTTAATGCTGCTCTTAAACCACTTGAAACTTTATCCAAAATTATTAATCTGCCCACCTCAATCTTTGCTCAAGCAAAGAGACCAAAGACTGGAAATGTTTCCTCTTCGAACACTGAAGCGATGGAAGAAGATGCTGTTGCTTCTGGAGGTGTCGACCAAATGACCAACCTGGTTAATGAAACAAACGAAGGACCCGTGACAGAATCATCGGGTAATGTTGAGCCAGAAATTCTTGATAATGAAATAATGAACCAACAAAGTGATGCCCGGACTTACCACAATGTCGAGGATAACACTGACAACGAAGCGGTTGTTATCGAAGAAGGTATTCACTTTGATGTTTACAATGACTCTCATTCTCGATCAAGTAATTTGATTGATGAAGTTATCCGTAATGAACACAATGTCGCTATGGAACCTGAAGAAAATCATGATAATGTCATCAATTCTAATGGAGCTGAATCAGAATCAGATGATGAATCTGACAGTGATGAAGAAGATGAAGACGAAGATGATGATGACCAAAGTAAGTTAATAAATCTATTATTATAATTTGTGTTTATTATATTCACCAATATCTTTAGGTAATCCAGATGAAGAAGAACGGGATGAAGAAGACGAGGACGAAGATGAAGATGATCATGTTGACGATGATGATGTCGAAGATGATGAAATCTCAGCTTATGTTAATCAAGAAGATATCGATGATTCAGTTTTAAGAAACTATGAAAGAGACAATGAACAACTTGTTTTCGATATTGAAGATATGATTCCGGCCTCCGTTTTTACTGAAGGTAGTTTAAGGTTAACCACCATACTACCTATGCTAGAAAATGAACAATTATCCAACACAGTCGATGCTACTCAACCTTCTGTTCCTCCAGCTCCAGGTAGTGTATCTATTTCTCATCCATTACTTGTTCGTCCCGGTGAAATTGGTGATTCAGTTGGTATGAATCCTGCATCAGCCTCAACCACGGCAAGTATTTTATCAAGACCTCATCGAAGTAACCGTCAAAGGATGTATAGACCTCCCGTTACAAGTACTTCTGGAGCCGCCCATCCAAATTGGACCTCTGGTATAGCAAATCGTCATCCAAATCCACCTGTTATACTGCAGAGACTGTTAGGACCATCAACGGCTCAACAAATACTTCAATTAACCTCAGGTACAAGTTCAACCCACCCTCCCCGGGTCATCTTCACTAGCAATGACTTTCAAATTATTACCGCTGATGAAGATTGGTTAGATTTTTCTGACTCTGGCTTAGTGGCTGGTGCTGGTTCTTCATCCGTTTTAGGCTCTATCCCGTCGGCTATGCTCCGATGGACGGAGGAATCTCGAGTGTTGGATGGCGAATCCATGCACGATTGTGTCGCTTCTCTCAAAATGAGTATCATTGAAGTGTGGGAAAAATATCGAGATGAAGAACTCGCTGAACGTAAAGAAAAAAGAAAAAACATGCTCGAAGAAGAAGAGAAACCAAAGAAAAAGATGGCTCGAGATAAAAATGAAAAGAATGGATCGAAAGATTCTGAGCCAAGACCACAAACTGAATCTACTGTTTACGCTAACACTGAAAGACTTGCAGCATCAATTGTTGAACAAGTTTTAGGTCCCGTTATGGCCTCAACAAATATCACCGGTCGCTCTGAACGACAATCAGCTTTAAGAACTGGAGATCGAACTCGTGCTCAGCCTGTAGATTTGGTCCCTGGTGCACCAGAAGTGTCAGCTAGTGATCCTCCTGAAGCTGACACCGAAGCGGAAGTTGAAGATGAACACTCGTCTTCACCTTCGCCATCTAATGACACTACATCAGTTCAAAATGACAATGAAATCACAGAAATGATTTGCTCATTGAGCACTCGAGAAGAGGAAAATCCTCGACCTATGGATGTCGATGAAAATCGTAGACATAGAGATCAACGTTCTCACAGAGATGATCCACCTCCTCCACCACCTGAACGTGCTTCTAGTAGTGATGGTCTTCCCGCAACCGGTGCAATTACACCTGAAGACCTATCAACTGTTACCAATAGTAGTAGTGAAGGTAATGCTACTTCAGTAACTGATGAACCGACAACTCAACCAGAAAATTCCGACAACAAATCTGAAGGAAGAGCATCAGGACCTTCAGCTCCACAAGCTCCAGAGCCTGACAACACTGTTGAGGTTGCAAATGGTGAGGGTTCAGCTAATACTTCCACACCTACTGGAGAAACTCAACAACCAGCTGGTTCTACAAGCTCTAATAATAACTCTGAACTTCAAAATCTACTCGGTGATACTGAATTACCTGAGGGTGTTGATCCATCATTCCTTGCCGCTTTACCTGAAAATATTAGACAAGAAGTTATTGCCGACCAATTGAGAGCACAACGTATTCAACAACAACGAAATGCCGCTGCTACTACTGCCGCGTCTACTAATCAACCGTCAAGCTCCCAACTTCCTGCACCAACCACTACTACTGCCGCTGTTTCCGCTGTCGCAGTTGCTGCCGCTGCCGTTGCTCTGCAACAGCTACTGCATCTGGAGGTGAGACTAACGTTTTAAGTGAAGTTAATCCTGAATTTCTCGCCGCTCTTCCACCTAACATTCAAGAAGAGGTTCTTGCTCAGCAAAGAGCTGAACAGCAGCGATTACAAGCTCAATCTACCAGCCCAGATGCCCCAGTTGATCCGGCATCTTTCATTCAAACACTACCACCAGGACTCCGTCGTCAAGTTTTAGCCGATATGGATGATAGTCTTTTGGCTCTTTTACCTCTTGATTTGGCATCAGAGGCTCAAAATCTCCGCCAAGAGTTAGAAGCAAGACATCGTCAATTCTCTGAAAGATTCCTCGCATCTCATGCTACTACCACACTTTCAAGAATACTCAGAAGTGCGTGTAAGTTTTTTATTACTATTTTTGACCGGTTAACAATGATCATTTATCTTTAATATTCGGATCAAAATTCGAAGCATCATCATGTTATAAGAAACAGCTTCTTACAAATCATTCTTTTTTTTCTCACGTTTAGCTGGTCGAAACCGATACGCAATAAGTACAGCTCAGGGTGGAAACTGGTTATGGGATCTTGGTGCTCGTGGGACTAACTCTTCCAATTATGGTACCTCATCAGGTCATCCAACTCAAGTTCGTCCTCCTTTTCCACCAGGTCGATTCAAAGGCAGACAACTTCTCGATCATGAGGCTCTATGTTGCCTTCTCATTTTACTGTTTGTAGATGAACCAAAACTTAATGTTTGTCGCTTACAACGTGTTTTAAAAAATTTATGTCATCACTATGCTACACGAGTTTGGGTAATCAAATCATTATTAGCAATCATGGAAAAGACTAGAGACCCTAAAGATTTCGTTGAACCAAAAACTCGAAAATCGAGCAGTGGCTCTATCCTTAATAAGTAAGTTTCCTTTTAAATTTTCCGATATTATTTTACATGTCCTATGATTAAAACTGACATCCTGATCAAGAGCAGATTCACTTTGTAGTATTCGATATTTAATTCGTAATCCGAGTTTCCTTTCTATTCTTTCTCTCTTCACCTTTTCTCCTGTATTCTACACTTTCCCCTTTCCCTGTCAATTCTCTTTCCTCTATCTTTTTTTTTCCTTTTCCTCGGATTATTGAGACGAATATTGAAGAAACTCAGTGTAATCTTGCTCTTATGATGGTTAAGATTATGAGATCTGAGGGCTCACCAATATTTTTCTAGTCAAACCTTTTCTACTCTGAACTTGATTAACTTAGAATTTTTTTCTCTCATTCTTCAGATCATCAAATCAATCTCCATCATGGTTATCCATATCTCTGGATGCTGCTCTTGGTTGTCGCACTAACGTGTTCCAAATACTTAGAGGCTCTGGTGGTAAAAAGGGAGCAAGCCAAGTAAATCATTCGATCACCATTCATCCGCAAGCTGCTCCATTAGTTTGTAGACATGTTTTAGATACTCTCATCTCATTAGCAAAATCTTTCCCTCAATCATTGAGAGTAGATTCACCCAGAGAAGAACAAAAGTCATCTTCAAGTTCTCAATCATCTCGTGATGATAGTTCATGTAATAAATCCTGTAAAGACCCAGATTTCTGGGAAGTTCTTTTAAGATTGGACTCTTCTAATTCTACCAAGAAAGGAAAAAGTGTTATTAAAAGTCATAGTAAGTTAATTTAAAATTTCACCGATTAGCAACTAACCTCAATTAACTTAATCACTATTTTTACTTTTCTTTTATCTTCTCTAGGTTCAAGTCCTTACCAATCAAGTAATCAAGCTTCTGGTTCCAACGAAAGTGATGCTACTTGTCAAGATGGCGATAGCTCACCTCTGGTTCAGATTATTAACTTATTATCTCATCCTGTTGTTAAACGAAGTTCACTTCTCACCGATAAGCTTTTACGTTTACTTTCACTTGTTGCTCTTGCTTCATTACCACACTATAACTCGCCATACTATGCAACAGCCTCCACATCACAAGCAGGTGAACAAAGTGGTACATCAAATGAAGGAGCACCAGTCGCTGTTCCACCCTCACAAGCCTCCTCTGATAAACCGAAAACAAAAGAAACCAAAGAAGACGAAGGGGAGAGTTCCACTGAAAGAAAATTGGTTATCAATGAAGATGCCATTAAATTGGCTGTTGAAGTGCTTACATCAAAATCTTGTTCTGAAGCTGGACTTGAAGATGCAACATCATTACTCTTACGCCTTTCTCGTAGTTGCCCAGCCACTCGAGACATTGTTTTAAATCTTCTTCTTGAAGGTGCAAGAGAATTAGGTTTTACTGTTAGTCAACATATTACAAAATTGAATCAAGAACTTAGAAAATTAAATATCTCATCAAGGGAGCCCAGTGATGATAACAGTGATTCAAATGCGGATAAACTTCTTAAAGGTATTATCCAAGATCGATTCACTGCTGCAAGTATTGTGATAAATGCTGCTACTCATATCAAGCATAGTTCCGCCTCGAAAGAAGTTCAACTTCCATCCATGGCTGCTTTGACATCCAAAACATCAAGTCAAAGTTTCTTCCTTCGAATCCTTAAAGTCATTGTTCAATTGAGAGAATCAATTAGAATGCAAAAGCTCCGTGGACGTTTAGTTACTGGATACAATCAGCCTTCAGCATCATCAGAGGGTCCATCAAATGTTGTTGCCTCAGGAAATTCTGAAGGCTCCTCATCAACAGCTAATGCGATCGAGCAAAATCCAACTGAAGTGGAAACCCAGGAACAAGAAAGTCTAAGCTCAAAGCTTAACTTAAATACACTTTGGGAATGTCTCAGTAATTGTCTCCTTGAACTTGCCGATGCTCCCGATCATCATGCTGTTCTTGTCTTACAACCAGCAGTTGAAGCTTTCTTCCTTGTACATGCTTCTGAAAAAGAACCCAAGAATCGTCGCCGTGAGAATCGTCATGAAAGTCGAGAAACTCAATTGGCTCATGTTAATCAAGATTTTTCGGCTCTTTCTCCGATGGTTGAAAATGCCTCTGGAGACTCAACTACAACTGTATCAACCAATTTACCTGTTGATACTCAGAAGTTCCTTCAATTCGCTGAAACTCATCGTGTTGTTTTAAATCAAATTCTCCGTCAATCCACTACTCCTCTAGCTAATGGTCCATTCTCAGTTCTGGTTGATCATACCAGAGTTTTAGACTTTGATGTTAAACGAAGATATTTCAGGCAAGAACTTGAAAGAATGGAAAATGGTGCTCGTCGTGAAGATCTTCCAGTTCATGTGCGCCGTGAACATGTTTTCGAAGATTCATTTAGGGAACTTTATCGTCGTACCACTGAAGAGTGGAAAAATCGTTTCTATATCGTTTTCGAAGGTGAAGAAGGTCAAGATGCTGGTGGATTATTACGAGAATGGTACACAATTATTTCAAGAGAAATTTTCAATCCTATGTATGCTCTTTTCACCACCTCACCCGGAGATCGTGTAACATACATGATAAATTCTGCCTCCCACTGCAATTCTAATCATTTACAATATTTCAAATTCGTGGGAAGAGTTATTGCTAAAGCGATTTATGATAACAAATTATTGGAATGTTATTTTACAAGATCTTTCTATAAGCATATCTTAGGAAAATTAGTCAAGTAAGTTGATGAGCTTTTTACCTGAATTTACTATGGACTATCTTTGCTCATATTTATTAACTTTATTTACACTGTTTATTTTATTTGTTTTCAGTTATCACGATATGGAAAGTGAAGATTATAGTTTTTATCGAAGTTTGGTATTTTTACTAGAACATGATGTTAAAGAATTGGACATTGAACAAACCTTCAATTTGGAGGTACAAGAGTTTGGGGTCACTGAAATACGAGATCTCAAACCTAATGGAAGAAACATCGAAGTTACAGAAGAAAACAAACACGAATACGTTCGACTTGTTTGCCAAGAAAAAATGACTGGTTCCATAAGGAAACAGTTGAGCAGTTTCTTAGAAGGTTTTTATGAAATAATTCCTAAGCGACTTATTTCAATTTTTAATGAACAAGAATTGGAATTGTTGATCTCTGGTCTACCAAATATTGATATCGATGACCTAAAAGCAAATTGTGAATACCACAAATACCAAGCAAACTCTTTACAAATCCAATGGTTCTGGCGAGCGTTGAGATCATTTGATCAAGCCGATCGGGCCAAATTTTTACAATTTGTTACTGGAACATCCAAAGTACCATTACAAGGTTTCTCCGCGTTAGAGGGTATGAATGGTACCCAGCGATTCCAAATTCATCGAGATGATCGATCCACCGATAGATTGCCTTCAGCTCATACTTGGTGAGAATTTTTTCTTACTTGACTTTCTTAGATTTGTTTTAATAATTTTTAATAATAATTTTAATTTTTTTTTCATTCCTTCTCTTCAATCAGCTTCAATCAATTGGATCTTCCTGCTTACGAAACATACGATAAACTGAAAACAATGATGTTAAAAGCCATTCACGAATGTTCCGAGGGATTCGGCTTTGCCTAATCTTAATCAAAAACACAATAACAACAACAACCTTTTGTAATTATATTTTTGAGGTTGACGCTCATATGGATCTGACGACATTACAAGCATAAAATAAATTCAGCTGCTTGTAGGATTCGTTTGAATATTAAAGAAGCTGTACTGAGCAAAAGAAAAAGAAACATTGAAAGATGACCTCTCACCTTAAACAAACAAACAAAAAAACGAGAATTTTATCAAACTCAAGCTTCATCCCTACAATTGATACAATCCATTTCGACCCATTTACGTTGTCTCTGATTCAAAGAAAAGAAATACACTTGAAATCAGCAAGTTCATTCTTGCTTCAACCTGAAGCACAAACCCTTCAAAACCCAATCATCATCACATAACAACAACAACTAAACAATGGCTACGGGTCTTTAAATAAGAATTTGCAATCAACCTTTTATTTTTGCTTTTCCCTATCCCTGTGTTTACGGCCCTTTGTTTAATTTCGGTTAACAGACAACACTAAATAATTCAACATCAATTAACACAATTCATACAAAAAAACTAAGAGAGATGATAAAAAAAAACAAAATTTACAAACCGAAAAGATTGAATTGTGAAAAATTGACTTTATTGCCATTTTTATTGATGATAAAAGGCTGTGATTAAACAAAAATTAGTAGTTAACTGAAGAGTTTTATTTTACAAAATGATCAAAAAACGAGAAGAAAATTTGAATTTGAGACTAAATTGCATAAAAAAAGTAACTCGAATGGAAAAAAGTGTAAATTTGGTATTGCTATAATAAATTGTCTTATGATTAATTAATCAATTGTTGCAAATTAATTAACTTTATTATCCTTTAAATGAATTGATAATCAACTGAATCATCAATTTGATGGGAGACATCAAATGTAATTGAAAAGAAACAATTTATCGATCAAATTTTGATTCGACTCGGAATCAATTTCTGTTAAGCCTAAAAAAAGATTAACCGATTTTCACTATTAAACTAATCATCAGACATATGTGACTCTCTAGTGATGCTGTTAATTGTGATATAGAAATAGTAAAATTGATTAGTCAACAATTAAAAATGAAACCATTCAATAAGATCAACGGTTATCGGTTACGACCAATGAAACCAATCATGTCAACACCAACAACAACAATCAATATATTAGATGAAGATGATGAAGATGAGATTTGTGATGATGATGAAGATGAAGAGGGAGATGATAATGATAATGATAATGAAGATATTGATGAAGAAAATGCTTTATTATTTGAAGATGATGCTAAAAACGGTAATGTGAAAACCAATCGATCGAAAAAGTTAATTAATCGAAAAAAATGTTCTCTCTCATTTAAATGTCTCTCTAAATCATCTGATCGCCGTCGTGTTAACCTTTCATCTCTAAATAGTAATGACAGTTCATTAGATGATAACGGTGATTGTGATTCTACTCTAACAATTGGTAAAATTAAGATAATTAAACCAGTTCGACGAAAACAGCGAGTTCGTCTTAAATTGTGTTCCATTTGTTTTACTTTAATCATTTTGTTAATTTCGATTTTCCTTTTTGTTTACCTTCTTTACACTAATCAATTAAATGTTGTACTCAACCTTTTGATTAAGCTAATTACGATGATAGTACCTTCTTCACTGTTAACAGCATCCTCATCATCTTCACAATTAACTAATCATCGACCTTTATGTGATCAAATTAGTGTTAATCATCAATGGAATCAAACTTTTCCAATGTTAACTATTGAATCTGCATTAAGATTAATTGATGTTAATCAAGATGATTTTCTTGATACAATCATCGCCTTCGGTACAGGTAAGTAAATTAACTAATATCTAATCTCTAATCAAGTTAATCTAGATAATTGACAATTTAAAAATCGTAACTGAGCAATCAAATTAAGTTAATTTGATTAACCTGTTGAAATCGATTCCATGATGTGATGAAAACAAAAAAACGGAAAAAAAGTCTTACCTGTTTACAATTGAATCTTTTTTTTTTTGATTAATTTTTTTTACTTCTAATTGTTGATTAATGTTTAAGGAAAAATATTGATTGTTAATTTGTTGACCACAATTAAAGATAATTATTATTCTTGATATTGAATAGATTCATTAGATTTTAGATACGATTGATTTTCTTTTCCTTTGGATAGTTGAACATTTTGTAATTTTGTTTTATTCCAACATCATTATGATTAAGTTAATTGTTGTTGATCTTTTCTTTTTTTCTCTGTTAATTGTTGTAATAAAGGAGCTGATGTTGCTTCTTACCCACCGGTGGTTTGTCAGGTTTATTTTAACCTGACGGAGGATCAATCACGACAAGGTGAGTTAATCATGACGATTAATTTTCGTAACAATTAGTAAATCATTTGGTTGCCATTTTTGTTTCACAATCACATGTGAATAAGTCAATGTCACGAATATATTGTTTTCCATGAACAAATTATTATACAAACAATTGATTGTTAACAATTACCAATCAAATTTGAATGTAAATTAAGCTTGACAGGTAATATGTGTTGACAATTAATTAACTAACAGTAATCAACAACAACAACACCACCACCAGAATCAAATGTTCACAATCAATTTAACCTCAACCCCAAATCTTATTAAAATTAAATTTTCGCCACATTTTAAATGAAAACTTTTTCGCCATAATTGTTGATCATTTAGCTATTACTTAATTACTCCTTTAATTATAATTAGGATGTGGAGGAGGTTTAATGGCTCTTGATGGTAAAACAGGTAAACTCATTTGGAATCAATATACAAGACATGAACTATTTGCAGTTAATTGTGAATTAGATGTTACCGGAGATTCAATTAAAGACTGTATTTGTGGTGGTCGAATGGCGGTAAGTTAATTGTTAATTAAATTCCATCACAATTAACTAAATTTACAATAGAATCCAAGTGACTAGTTGAGCTTTGGTATTAATCGTATAATAGTTATAATCATCTATCAGCTTTGCAGATTAATCGTAATTTAATCAAAATTAGTTAACCAATTGAAGTTGTCAAGGTTAATTCTCAGCTTGATTGTGATATCAACTTTCTCCCCGGCGTCTTCACAATCAAAATTAATTCTCAACAGTCAAGGATTGAATTAAACAGAATCAGAAAATCTGTATTAGAGGGATGATGATTGAGGAAGAAGGAAGAATCAAATCAAGCTCATTTAATTTGATCGATTTTAAGGTTCGTCGTAACAATTAACCTTGAACAATTTGGTTTTCTTTTTCTTTCATCATTCAATAATCAACATACTCTTAATGATTATATAATAATTAAGGATTAAGATCACCAAAAACTAAATCATTGACTTGGTTAATGCTCAAAGCTACCATTAGATAACTAAATATGTTGATTATTAGGTGGACACTTTTTTAATTAGCAACAATTTAGATTCCAATGTTAACCAGTAAATTACTTGTACGATTAAAGAGCCGATATACTTAAATACTGTATCATTGAACTTCCGTGATTAGCATGTTTCCTTGATTGTTATCCAATCTGATTAACGAAACTCAATGAAAACAATTAATAAACTAAAATATTATCACAAAATTAGAGTTGAAAAAACAAAATCAAAACAAAACGTGCAAAGATAATTAAACCAAATCAACGGATCTAAATGTTTGTTCACTGTTGACGGATTGTAATGCTAATTGTTTCTCTTAATTATCTCAACAATCAAGTCAATGTATGCAATTAACGGAGCCTCTGGTGAAATAATTTGGTCCTACCTTGATTACGAGGATGAAGCGATTTGTGGTACATCAAATTTTTACACTCCCCTGTATATATCAAAGGATCTTGATTCCGATGGATTATCGGATTTAGTTTTATCTCATGGTGGTGACCCTTTAAGGTCACCTCATGATGCGAACCGACTTGTGGCCAGATTAATGATCGTCTCATCGGGAACCGGTAAAATATTGAGTTGGGCAAAGGTTCCCGATGGTGGGGAGAGTTACTATTCACCGCAACAATTAATCCGACCTGATGGAACTGAATTAATCTTGTTCGGTACCGGAGGTGAAACTCACCCTGGGTCACTTTGGATTGTCCCGTTGGACAGTTTAATCCATGGGAATATGCATAAGGCTCATCCGATTTACACTGATTGTTGTAAAGGTAACAATTTGCTCAGCAATCAAAAGTAATCACGAGTAAACTGATTGTTTTCATTTGGAAATTATCTAATTGTTAATTGTAGGGATTATGGTTCCACCGGTTCTTGTTGATATAAATAGTGATTCAATTCTTGATATAATCATGTCGCTATTTAATTCAACTGTAATTGCTTTTGATGGTCACACTTTTCATATTATTTGGCAATATCATTTCCCTGGAAGTGAAACTTACAGGTAACTTCAATTAACTAATTGTTTGGTTATTATATAGATGACAAATTAACTTTAATTATTGAATATGATTCAGTTCACCGACAGTTGGTTATTTTAATGCTGATCGAGTTCCCGATTTTTTTGTTTCCTATCAATTTGGACCAGGATTCCCAATCTATTATTACTCTCAGGTAATTTGAGTTAATCAACTCATCGATTATCGGTTGATTGTTTGTATATGTTGATTTATTAATCTTTTCCATTCAATAAACAGGCAAATGTATTGGATGGATTAACAGGAAAACCTTTATTATCTCAACCGATCTCAATGTTAGTTGGAACTCAATCTTCACCATTGACAATTAGCACCAATGGTGCTAATGATATTTTCCTCTTTTGGTTATCAACTTGTGACAATGTCAATCAATCAGTGACAAATTTGGAGCCATTTAAAGTGCTTCCAGGTAAATAGATTACAAAATAATCAACAGATTGTCAATTTGTCACTTTTCCCTTGATTACATTAAGATTATTTGTTATTATTAATATTTGACAATCAATATTAATACAAAAAACGATGATAATTTACTAATTGATAATTTCTTCAGGTACAACTGTTCATCAAGCATCTCGAGCTGATTTCTGCTCAATTAGATTTAATTCAACTCTTTACACTCAATTAATTGGATTGACTCCCAATGGTTCAAATGTAATTTATGATTCCAGATTAAATAAACAATTAGAAAGTGTTTCAATTGATTATGCAGCAATAGGACAACAATGGTTACAAGAACATCAATATAATCCAATTGATCAAGATGATCCATATGATAGTTTAGCACAATCAATTGATTTCCAGCAGCAGCAACAACAACAACAACCATTATCATCAACCCAACAATCAGTCAATCCTTCATCAATTCTTGATTATGTACGATCAGAACCATTGGACTATCAACAAGTTCCTGATTTCCTGAATAATAAACAGATAAATCAAGATCGATTCCGTCGTCATGTTGGAGTTCATGATGGTAATGGTGTACAAAGAGTTATATCAACAGGTAAATTGTTTCACATAAATTATTCCACAACAATTAACGACTTTATTTGTTTCCAACAATCAGGTACATTAGCTCCATCCAAATCACCCAATTCGATTGATTTAATCTTCTCAACATTCTGGTTTCCTCCAACGAAAGGAGTTAATCGTATCTCCAAAAAGATGCAGAATTGTTTAGATAAATATCTTAATCCTGAAAAGGAAAACAAATTACGTCTTGGAATTAAATCAAGTTTAAAGGGATTCGATCACGATGGTTATGTTGAGATAATTGAAGAGACTTGTGCGAAAGCGGTTGGGATTAATTTAACGAAGATTAAGGAAGATTATAATCCATATAATCGGCCGATGGGATCAATGACTGTTTATCGAAAAACGATCAAGTGTATCAACACAACGGCCTGGGTTCGTCCTTTTAAAGAGCAAATTTGGCCCTCGTACATGGGGAAGCATGTTGATTGTTTGGCTAATTTGATTCCTCTCGATTAACTCATCAGCTAATTGAGAATTAATATTCTCAATTTAATTGTATAATTAAAAGTTCTTCAAGGTCAACAACTTGTTTTGTTTTCTCTTCTCTAATAACATGATTGTCTTCGAGAGAGAGAGAGAGAGAGAGAAAATTGATTTTCCAAAAGGAATCTGATTGTTTCTGCAAAAAAACCACAGAACAATTAATTTAATCATAATTACTATTGATGCAGAAATGAATTTTCCACAAATGAATGGAATGAAAAACTTCCTAGTTGATTGAAAAAACGATCAGATTTTCCTCTTCTCGGATTCTTCCTTTATCTCAATTATCATTTAATTTGGTAAATTAATGATGATAATTGTCAATAGAAAGTGAATGTTGTCAAAATTTTCATGTTATTCAAATGAGTTGAATGAGAGAATCAGTTAATTTCAATCATAAGTCAATGATCCAAAAGTTGTGAAAAACTTTTCCCTTTTACCATGAAAAGAGCTACCGGTTAGATCGTTGCTCCAAAACATTGGTCCTTTGGTCTATCATCAAAACGGTTATTTAGCTTGAGGCACGAAAACAAAAGGTTATCCTCATCTTTGGCATCTTCCTCTTTTTTTTTATTCATTGGGGTTAAACAGCAACATCATCCCCATGAAATCATGCAACATGAATTTTCAGCAATTTAATCATCCACTCAGGTGAATTTTTTCCCATTTCTGCCAGGAAAACGACACAACCGTGCCTAGGATGTTGACCGATGGAGGAACCTGAATTTAATTTCTCTGAGTATTAATCAATCAAACGATGAATATTACTTTATACGATTCATAATCATCTTCTTCCTCCTTTTAATTTGAATGGACTTTTCATCAGGATGATAACTTGTTATTCATTCATTTAACTCTTTGTTTCTAAGTTCAATTATGATAATTCTGGTGGTGGTGATGATGATGAACATTTTCAATCCTGTTTTCTTTTTTACTTTCCACCATTTAGTTGATTGTTGATTGGCCTTTATGCTAATATGTAAGTTAACGGTTGTATTACCTTGGTGATGATAATGATGGAAACTGTTGAAAGATGATGAAAGGAAAAAGAGAGAAAATAAAATTTTATCAATCAAATTAGTTATCATGTCCGAGGAAAATGTTAGCTTTCCTGATTCAGTCTACTATGGATAAGGACAAATTGTTAAAGGTCAATGAATGGGTGGTGGTAATTGTTAGACAATCATGATAAATATTAACCAATTAAAAAGAGTGTTAATCTTTAGACTTGAATTACTATTGATGGAAAAAGGATTTGACTAAATTTTGATTAGAAAACAAAAATTTTGAGGAAAAAAAAAGTTCTAAACTTACCTGTTGAAAAGGTTTGTGTTAATCGTCAACAATTAACCTCCAAGTATTGAATAATTTTTCATTGGGATGGTTAATCAGTTGGACCAGTTAATTGAGTTGATATAAATTGAGCAAGACTAATAAATTAAACCTTCATTGTAACATTGTAAATAAAATTATAAATTTCCAACGACTATTAACATTGTGTGTGTGTATGTGTTTATAAATATAAAAATATTGATGAGAATTAATGAAAATGCTGATAATTAACTTAATTGTGGATGATGAAGTTGTGTGTATGGTTGTAGTAATCAGGGTTTCCAAAAGTCAATTATGATCACTTTGTTTACAATTTAATTTTACTATTTGATGAAGGGTTTTGACTATTTGTACCAACGCTGAATTTACGTTCAACCTCTGCTAAAGCTTTTTCAATGGTCACCATTAAGTTAATTAGATTACTAATTAAATGTAATCGTCCCAATCGAGCTCTTTGTCGTTTACCATCTTTCTTGGCGCAACCACAGCCTCCAACCGGTCCACCGCCCAATCCATAGATACTCTTATAATTGTAGATTATCAGAATTGGAATAAAAATTGAACCTATGGCAAAGATTATAATCGCTGGATACATAACTTTGAGAAATGATTTCTCAAGATCTTCCTTTTCCTCTTCAGGTTTAGCTGGAGGATATTTTGGTGGCCAGGGAATCGGCTGAGGCCATGGCGACGGATATTTCATGGGCGTTGGTGGGACTTTGTAGCCATAAGGTTGATAAACGCGTTCATCGGGAACTAGGTAAGGATATCGCTGAACCATAATTGGCCTTACACTGTCCGAATTGAACATTGGTTGATAGGCTTGATTGGATGTTGTCTGTTTATCGGCTCCATCATCGTTAACACGAGTAGTTAAATTATTTTCTTTCACTGAATCTTCACAATAAACCCATGGAATCAATGTTAATAGTAGAATTGATTGTAGAAAGGACATTCTACATAATCTTTGATTCCAAATCAATGATTTACTTTCTCAGAATCTTATAGTCTTGATAAAAGTTAATCACTTTTCTCCAACGACAACATTTGACGATAATTAGTTAACATACAATCGTTGGTTTAATCATAACACACATAGAAAACAATCAAACTTGATCCATTTGGAAGTTGATTTGCAAATGATTCCAACCCTTTAGATTGTGATCGTGGTAACCATCAGAATCGTCTTTCTGTCTTCAATTCTGTCAGGTCAAACGTAACCTTCCGTTAATTTACCACCAGCCCTGTTGACAATTAAGGAAGGAAAAAAATGATGAATTAGGAAACAATTTAATAACTAAAACAATAAGCACAATTTAGTAAAAAAAACACACAAACAAATAAAAAGAGGTTAAAATGTAAACACTGTTCATTGAAAGGGTTTTGTCTTTACCTCTTTGTCTTATAAAAACTGAGCAATTTGTTGATTTTCAACAATTAATCAACAGCTCAGAAAATGAAGACACTATTTTTCATGATGATCACCAGATTAATTCATTTAAATTGTCAACAATTTTAATTCCTCTCAACCGAACGATTCCTGATTCAAATTGAGATACAAACACTTCTCATCTGAATAAAATCACATAGATAATGACAAATAGTGTCAACAAGAACAGAGGATTACAGAACAGACGAAAAAGACAATTAAACCAATTAACTACAAATTGTAAATTGATTTCAACTGTAAATTAATTTCGTCATCAGGTAACACAAATTGAGAAAGAAAAATGATTTTCCCACCAAAGAATAACCTCTTTTCTTTGGCCAATCAGCGTCTAGAGAACAAATTAAAATTCTATTTGTCGTTAATTTCTCTCTCCAAATTGTCATCGTTTAAATTGTTCTTCTGATTATTTTTCGCTGGGTGATGACCATTTCCAATTAGCTTAATTGTAATCAAACTTTTCCTTCTTCATCAGGTGAGTAATGTGAACATTAAGATGGAAAAAGAATAAGAATTAAAAAAAAATGAAATAATATTCTCATAACAATGTTGGATATTATTCTTGTTGTTGTTGTAGATCAACAATAAGATAATTTGTTTTTTTTTCTCTCTCTCTCATATCTCAGGTGGTGGTAAGGTAACAGTCGAAATTATAATAATAAACAGTTAACCAGGTAAATGATGGAAAAATTTGCTGATCACTGTAGTAAGAATTAGTTGATTAAATAGAGAACAAGATGAAATCAAAATGGCGAAAGCGTGGGTTCAATTATTGGTAAAGAAGAAAAAAAAACAATCCAATCATTGGATCTAAACTCTATCAATAGGTTAACTTTTTTATTCTTTGTCATGTTGGTTAATTATTGTTACTAATCTGATTTTTTATTTTCTTCTTCTTCCTTTAGATTTTCATGGTTGGTGTTTATTGTATTTAACTGATTAGTTTTAATTTCATTTCGCTGACAAGATCAAGTGGAAAAGGAAGAGATTATCAAATTTAACCTTTGATGGATTAACAAGTGAACATATCTAATCGTATAAAGATTGATTCTTTTTTAATGTAAGTTGATCATTTACTTTTTTTCTTTTTCCATTTTCCTTTATTGATTAATTTTAATCACGATGATTATGGTTAAAATTAATTTAAATCATATTCTCTTGTCATTTAGTGTTACAGGTACACTTGAATTAATTGTTTATAAATCTTGTTTACTGTTTGTTTGTTGTTTGTATTCTCATGATGAGATAACTCATTTTAATTGATAATCGGTTAGGAAGAAAATTGTTTCATCATAATTTTCTAATTAAATTCACCGATATCAATATAAATATAAACTAATTTGATTACTTTAATTGTGTAGATTTGAGCCTCTCGATGATCAGTCAGGATGATTTAATCTCAAGTAGTTAGTTGATACAATTTAGATACTTTTACAATAAGTTTGTGTAATATTTAGATGTGTATTTGTTTACTATTTGCAAGAGCAATAAGAGAGAGAGAGAAAAGAAAATTGTTTGATTGATCATTTTGATTGAATTTTTCTTTCCTATTAATTTCTAACAGGTAATTATGATGGTGCTGATTATCGTATGGATTATGTATCTCTCTCTCTCTCTCTCAGATTTAAATGGATATTATGCCAAAAGGAAGATTATCTTAACCACCCATTAACTGTCAAGTAGCCAATTGATCTCATTATTGAATAGCAGGTAATTATTATTACATTGTATTCATTTTGTTTTCACTTTCTATCAATACGATTTTATATATAAATATATATATATCAATCTATTATCCTGTTTTCTGTTAAATTGTTATGATTAATTATATATTATTTTTGTATATTATTTACACTAAACAGGTAATAAGGCAAATCTTTAAATTGGGCGGAGATGATGAACGTCCTTGAACTGGAACCATGAACTTGGAAGAAATTTGAATTTTTGTTTACTTGTTATTCTTAATGATCAACAAAAGAGAAACAACATAAACAATGACGTTTGAGAGAGGAAGAGGAATACAATTAATTAATTAGTTGCATCACAATCTCTTAATCGAGTCTTGGAAAAGTTTAATATTAGTATTATTAGCTACGTTGGATATAATAATAATCAGTGATAACGATGATGATGACGCTGGTGATTATTGAAAATGTTGCATTATTATTAATACCATTTTACCCTTAAGGTATTAAAATGAAGGGTTCAATCAAAATGTCACATTTAAAGGATTCATTAGAAACACAACCATGTTAATTGTTTACCTAGAATTTGCCCTAATTATGTTGATCGAAGAAGGAAAAAGTTTTAATTTTCCAATTTATCATGGAAACTTGTTCCTTCAAAATTTTGGCTCATACCTTTTATATTCAAGTTAAACCTGTCTTGTTGATTAACATTGGTAATTCCAATTGCTCTTTCACTGAATCCATCATTTAACACCATAAGAATCAATTGAGATGAAATTATGATAAACTGATGGCGATGCTGTTGATGATTACATTTCAATTTTGTAACATTCTGGAAACCAGATTCAGTTATTTCCTCGATTTTGATTACAAAGATTTTAAAGGTTGATCTTTTTCTTCTTCTTCTTCTCTCAACAATTTAAACTGAATCAAGAAAAAAATTCTTTTAATTATAAGAGAAAAACACACTCTAAATCAAGGTTAGTCTTAAATAATTATTCGTTAATTAATTATATATACCAATGACAATTGTATATTTATATTGACTTTCTCTCTGTACCTCTGGATTTTATTAATACCTGTTTATCAATCATGATGTCCACCAGCAAGAATTAACTAATCATATTAATTTCGGAGTAAATTGATTGAGCATTAATTTTAAATCTTTTCAGTCGTAATTAATTTAATAGATTATTTTTTTCTTCTATTACTTTCTATTAATAGATTATCATTATTTGATTATATTTTCTATTTCTCTCTCTCTCTCTCTCTCTCTCTCTCTCTCCAGGTTATATCATTAATTTATCAAGATATTTGATTTAACACTTGATTAGATTGCGAAAATAATTTGGATTCACTTTTTTCTTAATTACGATAAACAATTAATCGTGTTTGAATCAATTCTAATCCATGGACAATTGATTAACATTCATCGTTACATCACCTTTAATTATGGTAATCATTTTCTGCTGATAGATTGGTGAAAATTGCAACAATCAACAGATCTGGAAAAGTTAATTGTAATTTAAATCTAAATTGAATGATGTTATTTTATTGTTATTCATTTCTTAATCATTCAAGGATTAGTGAATATTACCTTTGGTTTTAACCGTTGAATTAACAACAACAATCAACACAATTAATTGTAAATCTATTTGTTGATTAAGTTTAGACCAAAGATAATCAGCAATTGATCATCATCATCATTAATAATTAACAGAACAATTAACTTTTTTATTGTTAAAAAAAGCACATTTCTGATAATATTATTTGATGGAATCGTCTTCAGTCTGATTGAGAGTTAATTAGTGATTAAAACATTTACCACAATTAAGATAATTGTTGATAGCAGTTTCTTGTTTTCACTTTGTTAATCTTAATACTTTGATTGATTTTGATTGGAAAGAAGATGATTTTAACTAACTGACCATGACACTAATTGATAAAATCTATTGTGATAATCAGTCAATCTACAAGTTACAGAAATTGATAAATCAATAATGATTAAGTTTCAATGTCTTAATTAACTTGAATACAATTGGAAAATTTAATTATCAATTAAAAGTTACAATCATCATTCAAGGTTAATTGTAAAGTGTCTGGGCAAGAAAATGTATCAACATTAATTAATTACGATGACCATTGGTTGGGAAGGGAAATTGAAAACAGGAATTGTCACTCAATTGACAGGTGTAACCAAACTGGTTACACCACCAGTTTCTTTGTTCAACCAGGTACCACCTCTCACGTGGTACCTGGTTGATCTGATTGGATAAAATTTTAGGAGGATGAAGAAGGTGATGGAGACAATTTTCTCCCTCACCGCCAATATAATGGCCAAACAAACGGCCATTTTATCATGGAATCGGGGTTGTAGTTACCCAAATTATATTTTATATAATTTTGTTATTAAAAGTTTCTTTTCCTTGTTACCAATTGTGACAATTGGCACCCTTACGGGGATCCTCTTCTCAGTGAATTTTATATAATAAAAGTGTTTCTTGTAACTAATTAAAGTAAATTAATAGTGCAAATTTTACCTAATAATCTTAGGTAGCAGTGAATTGGTTTAGGCCAATAAAAGTGACCTAATTATAACAAATTTTACCTAATAATCTTAGGTAGCAGTGAATTGGTTTAGGCCAATAAAAGTGACCTAATTGTAACAAATTTTACCTAATAATCTTAGGTAGCAGTGAATTGGTTTAGGCCAATAAAAGTGACCTAATTATAACAAATTTTACCTAAATAATCTTAGGTAGCAGTGAATTGGTTAAGGCCAATAAAAGTGACTCAATTATTAACAAATTTTACCTAATAATTTTAGGTATCCAAAATTGATCTTCATTAATAAAAGAATCAAATGATTAAAGACCTTTACCTTATATCTTAAGTATTGAATTACAACTAATAAAGGCTATCTCAAGGCATAAGTGTCCTGTCCTGGTAAAAATTTTTTTTTACACTCAACTAAATAACTTCACCTAATAATAATTAGGTATTAAGAATATCATCTTTAGAACAATTCCATTATTAATAAATAAAACAAAATTAAAACATCTATTTTAACCTGATTGGCTTAAAACAAATACTCCTAACTCTTTTGGTGGTCGAAATTATTTTCTGGTATCAAGAGAATTCGAGTTTATATAATCATTGGAATCCTTAAGGAAATAAGATAAGTAAAGTTTTATAATAATAATAACCTCTGGTTCATTTAATTAATAATTTTACTGACAGAATGACCATAGTCAACAGTTTAAAAGGGCGATATATAGATATTATACATTTAAGTTTTAAGAATTCAATGAAATTCTATCATAAAATATAGTAATAAGGACAATGAAAAGAATAAAATTATTGAATCAAAACAATAATTATCTTCAACAATAAAATAAAAGATTAAAATCATTGAATCAAAACAACAATTACCTTAAACAATTGAATGAAAAGAATTAAATCATTGAATCAGAACAATAATTATCTTCACGAATAGAATAAAAAGATTAAAATCATTGAATCAAAACAACAATTACCTTCAACAACTGAATGAAAAGAATTAAATCATTGAATCAAAACAATAATTATCTTCAACAACTGAATGAAAAGAATTTTATCATTGAATCAAAACAATAATTATCTTCAACAACTGAATGAAAAGAATTTTATCATTGAATCAGAACAATAATTATCTTCACGAATAGAATAAAAAGATTAAAATCATTGAATCAAAACACATTACCTTCAACAACTGAATGAAAAGAATTAAATCATTGAATCAAAACAATAATTATCTTCAACAACTGAATGAAAAGAATTTTATCATTGAATCAAAACAATAATTATCTTCAACAACTGAATGAAAAGAATTTTATCATTGAATCAAAACAATAATTATCTTCAACAATAGAATAAAAAGATTAAAATCATTGAATCAAAACAACAATTACCTTAAACAATAGAATGAACAATTGAATTACCTTCAACAATTAACAATAGAATGAACAATTGAATTACCTTCAACAATTAACAATAGAATGAACAATTGATTTACCTTCAACAATTAAACAATAGAATGAACAATTGAAACCAACCAACCATAATTAAAGCTAATCATTGAATTTTCATGAATTAAAATTGGACTTAACAATTGAAACCAACCAACCATAATTAAAGGTAATCATTGAACTTTCGCAAATAGTAATTGTACTTAACAATTGAAACCAACCAAACATAATTAAAGGTAATCATTGAACTTTCATGAATAGTAATTGTACTTAACAATTGAAACCAACCAACCAGAATTAAATTTAATCACTGAACTTTCATGAATCATAAATTAACAACTTGAACCTTACTGATATCTTCTCTTTATTCTCTCTCTTATTTTATCTCTCTTACTTTAGTCTCTCTCTTTAGTCTCTCTCTTACTAGTCTCTCTTACTTTAGTCTCTCTCTTACTTTAGTCTCTCTCTTACTTTAGTCTCTCTCTTACTTTAGTCTCTCTCTCTTACTTTAGTCTCTCTTACTTTAGTCTCTCTCTCTTACTTTAGTCTCTCTCTTACTTTAGTCTCTCTCTCTTACTTTAGTCTCTCTCTCTTACTTTAGTCTCTCTCTCTCTTACTTTAGTCTCTCTCTCTTACTTTAGTCTCTCTCTCTTACTTTAGTCTCTCTCTCTCTTATTTTATTCTCTCTCTCTTATTTTAGTCTCTTACTTTAGTCTCTCTCTCTTACTTCAGTCACTCTCTCTTACTTTAGTCTCTCTCTCTCATTTTATTCTCTCTCTCTTACTTTAGTCTCTCTCTTATTTAGTCTCTCTCTCTTATTTTATTTTCTCTCTCTTACTTTAGTCTCTCTCTCTTATTTTAGTCTCTCTCTCTTACTATTTTAGTCTCACTCTTTTAATATTAAGTCTCTCTCTTTTAATATTCATTATGTGCAAAACATTTTGTTTATTTTTTTGTTTAATCATTATTTTCTGGTGATATGAATGATAATGATCACCTTTTAGAAATAGAGGAACAGGAAGCTATACACCTAATATTTGGAATTCAATTTAATGATACTACAATCAAAGTTATACAATTATTAATTCTTCTCTCTCCATTTATCATATTGACAATCTGGTTTACATTTAAATTACACCAATTTTATATTGAAACACACTTTTCTCCTTAATTATGGATGATCAACCTCTATTAACTACCCCGGTGCTGGGGATAGGTAGAGAAAAGAAAAATAAATTAAATTCAACGGTAAATCAACAATTACATATTCCTAATTTCTCCGGTGATGGGGATGAGGATTTATTAGATTGGCTTGATCATTTTGAATCAGCTGCAGTTGCTCTTGATTGGGATGAAGAGATTAAACTAAAAGCTTTACCTGCTTATTTAACTGGTACCGCTAGTAGATGGTACCGATGTAGAATTAAGCCCTTAACTGGTGATAATATTCCGAAAACTTTTGAAGATTTAAAAGTCAAATTGGTTTCAGATTTAGCTCCTTCAGGTTACCGGAAAATTTAATTAAAGAGTTAAATAATAAGAAACAACGTTCAGATCAATCAGCTATTTCTTACTCTTACGAGGTTCGAGATCTATGTAGAAGAATTAACCCAGACATGCAAGAAGAATTAGTAAATAGCTTCATCGACAGAGGTTTAAAATCAAACATCCGAACTAGATTAGATTTACTAACAGCTGATTCTACCTCTGACTTTATTACTAAAGTAACATTAGCTGAACGATCACTATCAAAAATGATGATTTAACTGAATCCGAAGAGAATGAACAGTTAAAAAATACAATAACGGCATTATCGCAACATTTACAACAAATTACCGAAAGATTAGATTGCTTAACTTTCCAACAAGATATGAAAAAGCGAGAGAGAGACAATTATCGTAATCGAAATGATTATGGAAATAGTAATTATCGAAATGATAACTATCGAACTGAAAATTATCGAAATACAAATAATTATCGTAACTATCGAAATAATTACAGAATGAATAACTATCGACCAAGTAATCAATCAAACGATAATAATCAACCAATCATATGTTACGGTTGCAATGAGCCTGGACATAAAAGAAATGAATGTCCCCGAAGAGCGGACAGACCTCGGGATGATCAAAAAAGTATTGGATGGGCAACTCAAGGTCCATCAACATCTAAAGATGATAATTGGAGAACCCAAAATCAATCACAAGATAATAGAAAACAACCATGGTTTTAAACAGAAATTTGAGTAGATCCTCGTTCGATGCGTCCACTCGGCCAGATGAATATAAAAGTTACCCTCAATCAAATACACCACGAAATCGATCACTAAGTCCTCGACCTAGAGGACGACCACGACAAAATTCTCCTCACCCTCAAGGTAGAGGTAGACCAAGATCGAGATCAAGATCACCATCAAGTGACAAAAGAACTAAAGTAGTTAAAACAGTTTATACTGAATATGGTGATGATGATGATGAAGTAAAATTTCAGTTCAATCATTTCAAATTTATTTAAAGAAAGAATCAATTAATATTTACTAGAGCAAAAATTAAGGAAACAGAAGTAGAATGTTTGGTCGACACCGGAGCCGAAGTCTCATTACTTTCCAAACAATTAGCTCATAAATTGTCACTGAATTATCATAACTATAAAGGTCCGATTCATTTAACTGCAGGGAACCAACCATTGAAAGTGATTGGTGAAACTTATATTAAATTAGAGATTCCCGATGGTCCAACTAAAATAGAAATTAAATCACCTATGATCATTGTTGACACCTTGCCGTCAGGAATTGAGGCCATCATTGGACAAAATATTCTAGAAAAGGGAAAATTTTTCATCGATTGTAAACGGAGAAAATTAATTATTCCATTAAACCCAAAAGAAAAATTTGAAAACATAGATTTAAATTTTAAATCAAATATGCAACTAACCACATCATCAATCGTCTCATCTAATTATGATTCGAATCAAATACAATCATCAACAAATTCACAATTAATTACAAGAAGTGACTATTCATCAACAATTAGTTTATCTTCATTATTTTCAGTCTCCGTGATGGGAAGAAAATTTTGTTGATGAAGAAATTTACATCAATAATATAATTAATGATTTAAAACTTGAAGTGAACAGTGAAATTCAACCCACAACACGAAACAAATTAAATGAATTAATAACTAA